ACATCAATAAAGCTTTATAACAATACAATTCATTACCATTATTTGGATTAATATTGTAATAATTACACACTTTTTACATTATGAAAATAAGTCATAAATAGTGTAAAAATAATTCTGAAGATCAACTTCTCACAAACTAGGAGCCCTGAAAACAAGTTTGAAAAAGCAAATAAAAACAAGTTAGAAACTGAACACAACGTAATTATCTCCAAACTGCAAATCAAAACCACACACATCTTTTGATTCAGCAATGTCAGCTGGAGAAATTACAATGAAATTGAAGTAAGAAATCCAACAGGGTGAATTCAATCTTGCAATTATTTACACGACTGAGAAAAACAGGTTTGTGCCATATTTACAGTGATAAGACACAACACATTCTTAGAATAATCAGTTACATGAGATTGGCCCACAAAACACTAAGAAAAATATGCAGTGTAATGCTTGCCAAAATATTTTTTTTTTGCATTTTCTCTTATTTTGCATTTACATGGTTTTCTGGCAATAGAAAAATAGCTGCACATAGAGGTGACCTTTAAAATGTAAAAAATACAAATAAAAATATAATATTTTCTAAAGGAAAATCAGATACATACATCTTTTTTAAATGTTGCATGGAACATTTACAACAGTATAAAGAATATTCACAGAAATGTCAACCATACGTAAGACATTCTTTTGTGAATTCAACTTATTAATATATCTGAGATATGTGAGAATATCTACTGCATTTTGAGAAATGTTGGAATTTTGTTATCAGTACATCAAATATAACATATAAGGTTGAAAAAGTCTTCCTATTCCCAACAGGACAGTTCTGTCAATAAGCAGCATAGGGAATCTTATACATTTACATACATTAAAAAATCAGAAATGCCATTAAAATATTTCAGTATTGGGTTGGCAAAAACAAAATTCATTAAAAGTTTAAGTTGAGAGGGTATCTCTGCTTTGGCAAAGAGTAAATAGGGCCAATGTGAAGCTTATTTCAAAAAAGTGGGAAAAAGTAGGGACCAAAGGTCCTTAAATTCTAAAATAATTTAGCGGAATCATAATTGGTATTAATTCCACTAGGAATGAATGATTTTATCAGCCAGAATCATATGTGATTGTTCCCAGTCATTATTTTTGAGGAAATAAGATTAGGTTGCTATGGACTTGACTATCAGAGATAGGGTTTTCATTTTTGTTTTTTGGGGGTACAAATTACCAAGTTCATTTTTGGTAATGTTAATTATTACTATAATTTGATTATCAGGAAACAAAAACAAGGTTTCAAATACCAACATATTTGCATATTCCTACGATCACTTATTAGAAGATATTAAAACACCACCCACCATACAAGCATAATTTACAACCATTATTTCTGGGTAAGATAATATACAGTGGCAAAACAAACAAAAAGGGTGGAAAGTGGCATCTACTTCTTATGCTGCAATAGTAACATTAAAAAAAACACTTGGAAAATTAAGCGTATTTTCTAAGTGATAAAAATATAAGATACCAGACAATTTTTTTTTCCATAGGTACTGACATACTGACTTGACCGTTTCCCAAACCAGCAGATATGATAGAAATATGTAGTAGACCAAGGACATGCAGGATGAACTCCTGGATGACAGTTCTTACTGTCTCAACAGAATATCATGCACAGAAAGCAATTCCAAGGACAGACTTTTTTTGGGGGTAGAAATTCAAGATATTTTCATGTTTTCTATAAAGTCAAGTAAGAAAGAAAAGTCCTCCAAGACTGCTTTTCATAAAAAAAAATGAAAACGAGAAGAAAAATTTAGGCATATTTGTGTGTCAGGTACTCTATGAATGTGTGCAGACTTCTGTGATACTGGTTTTGCCATGCTTCATCAAATTAAATAAGTGAAAAAATGAGAATGAAAGTTGATAAAGGCATATAATATATGAAGAGAAGATGAAACAAGAGGATCCATGACTCAAGTAGACACACATCATCTATAGAAGCACTGTTTTGTTCTGACTTATATTAAAAAAGACTGGTCATCAAACCATAATTAGAGCAAATTCATGAACTTTAAAAACAAAATCACACACTAACCATTTAGGAATGCTATTAAATACAGAAACGAAATTATCCATAGTAGAGTTGCATTGTTCATAAAGAAAAAGAAAAGAAATACATTAGCACCAACATGAATGGAAAAACAATTTTAAAGCTAAAACACATAGCAATTTGGCATCCTTAAAACATGCATATCAGAAATAGAACCTGATCCTGATTTATTTCCAATGTGTCTTCCATGTATTTTTTCCTCAACCTTCTATCCAATATAATATAAAAGAAGGAAACCTATAAGAAAAATATGTATCCACCAATATGTATATTAGCAGACATAGTTCCTTAGTTCATTTGGCAATTATTTGGTTTCTCTATATTGATGACAAAGCGGATGGCTGGAAATATTTTAGTAACTAAAAGTTTGAGATTATCTATGGTTAAGCCCAAGTAATTCCACCAAAAAAAGAGTATCATTACCTCTTTGTTTTTCTCAAGGAAATAAATGTAGTGGAAGTTTATAGCTTCCTTTAATTATGAATTCAAGTCAGTGCTGTCAAATCAGTTGTAGAGCAAAATCCCAATATACACATAAGACAGAACAGTGTTCTTAAATGAGTGTGTTCAAAAAAATTTTTTGTATGTAAAGTGTTTCTCTTTGATGTTGAGCTATTCTGTTTTGAAGCTGTTCAAGTGTTAAATAGTGATCCATCTCAATACCTCTTTCTACTAGAGGAGTAGAAAGATGGGAAGAAATATAGCCACCAGATTTTTCTCAAGACACTACTATTTGTTTTCCTGAAGAGACAGTAGTTCTACTGCTTTAGTTCATTTTTCCAAACCATTTAAGACAAACTGTTTTAGAAACTTAACAATACCTTATCCTAACCATGTCATACAAAAGATGGTTAGAAAATGCCCTGTTATTTTAAAAATGCCAAATTGGCTTTGCAGTGTGGAATGTTCCTAGAAATGTTACCAATTAGATTGATCTAATAGTTCGAGTATTTTTCTAATCTTGAAAACTTAATGGAAATTTAAAAAGGGCAGTGTATAATTGAGCATTTGGTTATATAATGTGAAAGAGATCATAAGGACCTTAGGATCCATGTCTTATATCTTAACTGTTGTCTCCATAAGCCAAAGATTAGTTAATTTCCCTTCTGGAGGTGGAAACCAACATATGAAACTAGGAATTTTCCCGTAAAATGGCATTTGTCAGGAGAGAGATTATGTTGTTCCATGAGCTGAAAAAGTGACTACTCCTCATTGATGATGCTTCTCCTAATGTAACCCTTCCACTTGAATAAGCCATTTCAAAATATGCTACCAACACTTTCCTGTGCAAAGAAATGCTCAATCTAATACAATTAGGTAATTTTGAGCAACTAGAGGAAAAAAATTCTTTATGGCAACTATATTTCACAGCTTTCTGAGATCTCAGATTTGGTCTATTCATAAGACAAACAGAAATGTAAAAAAAAGATAATAAGATCTAAATATAGACAAAACCTAGACCTAAACAGTACTACAAGAAATAGAAATAAATTGTACTATCAAATATGACCAAATCTTGACTTTATCTTAAGTGATAAGTACTGTGGATATTATAGTCATATGAAAAACAGTCAAAAAGTACTAAAAATTTTAAATTGCTTGCCTTCAATGCTTTATAATGACTGAACTGTAAGTGGAGCTTCTCTTATAGTCTTTTCAATTATTCAGAACAAGAGAGAAGTTAGTGAAAGATCATCTTGATTGTTGGTACTAGGTTATTAGGCTGTGAAGACTTTTCTTAAAAACATCGTTCAAAACAAATATGATAAAAACTGAAACAAATCGTTTCATAATATTCCTGAAACTAAAAACAGAAAAGAAAAGAAAACGTATTAAAAAGAACGTCAAATATTTTTCTATTTCTAAAACTTTGTAGAAAATGTTTGCAGTGGGTTGGATCTTGGAAGGGAAGCTCTCATGTCAGCTTCGGTAGAGATGGTAGGGTGAGCCCCCTACTTCTTCAGAGGTTACTTCGGCTGACCTCTTCTTGGGGGTGGGAGGTACACACCCTTTGTCCTCAGGAATAGGGGCTGGCTTTCCAAGATCTCCTACCCAAAAGAAGTGCTGTATACCTCTGTCATTTTCCAAAAGCACCCTTATTAACACTTGCTGGAATTCAGTCTATGAAAGAGAAGACAGCCTGTAGTTCTGAGTGCCCGCATTTGTAAACCTCTTTCCTACTTGGTCACAGGAGAGACAGCGCAGGATGCTAAACCGGTCCTTCTCCCTTGTCTTCACTGCCAAGGGCAGCCAGGGGAAACTAGCAGCGGCAACCAGCTCAACCCCTTGATATTTCAACCAAGGTGGCCCTGTGAGCCCACAATACTGGAAGCCGTACATCTGCAGTCGGGGCTGCAACTCCCTCAAAATACAAGACCATGTGTGTGTGCGCTCTCCACCACCTTATCTCTTTTTGGCAATAAGCCACGGTGTAACCCCCTTGAGATGACAAAAGAAAGAAAAGCTCAGATGTGATCAAAGGACTCAGCAAGCAGCATGCTAGCATCTGAGGTTCACAGCAAGCAGGTCTGGTACACAGCCATGCTTTTAGTCTGTTTCAGTGGGTGGTGTGGGCGTGAAGCTAGTGGTGAAGGTGAGGAGGCATCTGATGATATTCTTTAAAATCAGTTAGTATAGTACATTTCCATAGTTTTGAGTCCATATTTGGTCACAATTTCATGTAAACTATTTCACGGCACTTGCTGTCCATGCAATTAACAAGCCTAAAGTAAGAAAATAGCAAGAACAACCATTCTCTATCACTGATACGTCCATATAAATACGTATCTTCCCATAAGATAGAGATACTGATCTACATTTTTTGCAGGCTTCTCACTGGTTTCACATATTGTCCAATTTCAGATGTAAGTGAAGAAAGGATGGACGTGTGTACTACTGCAAACAGGAAGAAGCGGCTATATGTAAACATATCTCAGACTTGTAAAATCTGTAATTGATTTTCAACTATAAATATAAAAAGTGGACCATTATATACACACAACTTCATGCTTGGAAGGTTAGAGTCATCACTGCAGAAAAACAAACAACAAGAAAGACAAATATAAAGAATTAGTGGTCTAGATAAAAACTCCGAAGTCACACTCATTTTAAGGAAACTGGTAGAACCCTCAATAGAGTCTTTTTGTTGTTGTTGTTTTTTTAATCATTGAGCCAATTGATATGTGTCCTATATGTTATTTTTCAGAACTCAGGGTGTCATCATAATTTACATCCTAGGTTCAACTCACATTTTTCTTTTGCCACCAAGAGGCATGTGGTATTTGATCTTAGTAACTCTCCTGGGAAAGCAGAAAATTGGGATTTTACCAACTATGTGCCATAATCAAAGTAAATGTCCTGCTTATAAGTTACCTAATCTTGTCCAAGTTTTGAGGCATGCTGTGGAAAAGGCTGAGGATTCTGACCTGGGGCGTGCTCACATCACCAACCCTGACTACAATACTCCCCTCTCCTCTGGCTCTCACTTCCTCTTCCTTTGTTAGTCCTGCACTGCTTGTCAGGCCTTCAGGCTGTATTGTAGGTTCCACTATGATTTGAGATACATAAATTGCTGGTTCCTCATTTTGAGCAGCCATAATTATTAAGGTTTTCCTACAACTGAAGTGAAGTCTGAGAAAACTGAGGGATAGTGGTTTTCCAGGTATATGCATATGGAGCCGATCTTGGAGATGTTACTTTAATTTAAAAAAAAAAACCAGTAAGAAAAGTATATAGTTTAATAATTTCTTTTTCAATTTCCAAGAAACTATATTAAGTATGATATGAGGGCAGATATGTTGTGAGTTTTAGAGACAGAGTTCACTCAATGTCCATGTGTGTCATGGCCACACCAGAGAATGCACGTATAGGGAGTCTTTCTTTCTCCAAATTCTGACTTATCTGAAATTTCAAATAGATGTATTTTTGAGTACCAATGTTTTCTAAATAATCTACAGACTTTTTTTTTTTTTGGTTTTCTATGGACTTTAAAGATCTACTTTATCCCCTGGATTTTAAAACTTAATTTTAAAATCCTGTCATCTTGCTTTGGAAAGGTTCTGTTGCAAATCTGTTGCAAACCTGTCAGCACTATCTGGAAAAATAAAATTTAGGGAAACATTAAAAAATATGAAGGCTATAGGGATTTTTCATATTAGTTTTTAATCTGTGGACAAGGATGGATGACTTTAATAGCTTATAAGAATTTTTTCAACCATGATTTGTCATTTACTCACTGTACAAATTAAAGTGTGAACTGACACATCATCGTCTTCAAAACTTAAAAAGCTGAACTCTATCTAGAAAGAAAAGTAATGTAAATGAGATCAAATGGTTTTGCATGACAAAATTATTATTCAGAGTAGCATAACCAAAGGGACTTGCTCATTAATCACAGTGATTTACACTGCAGTTGCAATCTGAATTTTCAGTCAAAAACCACCATGCTCTAGAGGCAAATAAATATAACAATGTTTAAAAGGATGGTCCACATAAAACAGGACTAAATAAAAGTAACTTATTGGCCTTCTTTTTAAAATATCATTTTACAAATAATTTGATTTAATTATTTGACTTAATTAAGAGTGTATTTGAGATAGCTGAGTTGACCACATAAACCATTTTAGAACATTTTGTTTTCCTAATTGTTTCTTTCTTCTCTTTTTAGGTGGGGAAAGGAGGTATTAGGAGAAGTTGATCACAATGATATCATTTGTGTGTTGTGGAATATAGTAAGCAATACTGAAGTTTTGAGTTATTCCTTATTTAAGAAGATGCTAGATTTAAAAGATCTTTAATCTTACACAGAATATAGTATCTATCATGTGGGAAAATGAGTAGTGAAAAGGGAAAGTCCTGATTTTCTTCTGCTACTTTTATCATTACTAGGTTTGGCCATTTTATGAAACAAAAACATGGTAAGTCCTCTCCTTGTTGCCATTATTACTATGCTTCACAAAATGAAAGTGAGTTAGAAGTGGCCAAAAATGATGTGAACCCAAGTTCTGAGTAGGTCAGGAGGCTGGATAAAGTAAGCCTTTTACATCTCCCTCTATGTATCTAATACAGGGACTATTAAAAAATCATTACAGCCTTAGATTACAAGGCAAAGGTTAAAGAGCAAATGGTAATCCCAGCTCAGGATGGTATTAAAAATTCTGAGCACAGGGTTAGGATGGTGAAAGGATACCTTTCTCAGGTGAAGAAGAACAGGATGGCAGGCCTCCCTTCCTGAGAGCCACTTGACCGCAGCTGTGGCTGGGCTCCTTGCTACACAGGCTGTGTGGGAAGCTGCGAAATAAATGACACTACTGAGGGACAAGGCATTCCTTTCCCTGACTGAGTGGGTGAAAGGACTTGAGCAAGGGAGTGAGTTACGCAGGACCTCCTCACCAAACAAGCTGCTGAGCGCAGTTAGGAGAGTCATGTTTCTCTCCATGTTTCTGCAATCTTAGTTTTGTGTCGTTTTGCCAGTGAAGCATGCCTGTCAAAAATTACTGAATAAACCACAAGGTATTAGAGAAAAAATTTCAAAAGCATATATACTTTCTCCTAGCTCATTTTTACATTGGTGGAATTCCTTTCTCCTTCAGTAGCATACACGCAGTCTTGTATAATTAGGTCCCCCTATGACTGTGTAAAGGTTTGGCATTCTCTAACAACACAGCGCATGCAGATCTCCCTGCATCAATTTCTGCCATGGCTTTCCATTGTCTGCTTCTCCTCGTCATGTCCCATACTAGCTCTGTGTCCTTCTAAGTTACTTAATCTCTCTGAAATTCAGTTTTGTTATTAGCATCATCCAGGATAATACCCTATAGGGTTACTGTAAGGGTTAAATAAAATGACATCCCCTATATGAAAAGGCCTTTGTACACAGCCTTTGTACACAGAAGGTTCGCTATGAAGGATATATACACAGCAACCATGGGTAGCCATATGAAGAGGCTAGAATAAGCACCAACAATGCCAACTTAAATATAACCAGACACTCCTAAATAAATCAAGATGCCATTGAAGAAAAAAAAAATGCTGACATTTTCTGCTTTCTCAGCTTTGTGACTAATATTGACAGAGTTCTACCATGTATTTGCATGTTTGCCTAAGTAACTGAATATAAACAGAAAAAGAATAGCAATTGAAATAGTATTAAATAGTAGGATGACAAGAAGTTTATTGAAAGACAAGCAAACCCTTATCAAGATGCACTGGCCCTTTCTATTCCAAAGAAGGGATTAAATAAGGGAAGGTTTCAAATTACAGTGTTTGCTAAAAAATTTTCACTTCTCTGTTTAGGAAGAAATCAGCACTAAACATATTAATCAAAATATATTCTGGAGATGGAATCCTTTGCTTTTTAATGACCAAACAAATTCAAAAGGTTGGTTCTAAATGGAAAAGGCTCAGCCAGGTGAAGAGAAAGGGAGAGTGCTTCTTTTAGAAGTAATTCCATAAAGCCTACCTTTTGCCAACAGCCGGGCATGGGTAATCCATCTGGCCCCTGATTTAAAGAGAAGAATAAGAATTCCTGAGGCTCCACAAAAGAGATCATACTTCATAATTTACATGCACAGAGGTTTAAAAAATGGATTTCTACCTGTTAGGTGGCTTTAGTCTTAGGCATCTTTTTCTATTTATCAACTCCCAATAGGATACCCAAAGTTAGTTAAAATGAAGAAAATGCAAATGTTTTCCAGGGTAAGCACACATTTTGAAAACATAAAGTATAGAAAAAATTATGCCTTGTTTTGAAAAAGCAATTTACAAAGCATAGCAATCTACTCAGTTCCACCTTTAGATAATAAACTGTGCTATTCCCCTTAATTTCACTGAAACACATTTTACAATTATCTTTATTAAATAAACTGAAATAACATCTCTTCCTGGTCACTAGGGTCTACGGTTGAATGCATGATAATGATGAATAATCAGTGATGAACCATTTCTTTCTGAAGTTTATAGCTTTTCACATGCCAGTATCTTTCACTTTCTATTCTGAAAGCAGATACAGGAGAACATATTCAATTAAAAGATAGGTGGCTTCTCTCTATCTTTACAGTAAAATGTTATCCACAGCATTTGTAATTTTTTTTCATTGAAATTCTTCAGAGGCTGGTTAACAGATTCTGAATAAACAAGAATGTTACAAAGTTTATTTTCATTTAAAATGTAAGCACCCTTCAGATACAAATGATACAAAGAAGGCAGGGGGAGTTGGTGTATTATGAGGCACACTTGTGTTTCCCCCTAACCAAATGTTGTAAAATATTATTTACTATCAATACAAGCAAACTAAATAAAAGACTGGGGACTGCATATTGAGAATTTCTAATTGTAATTCCTGGCTGAATGAAATTTTTTTTCTATAAATACAATCCTTAAAAGACTTGAGAAACATAGCAATCTGTAAAGAACCATGCTCAGCACTGAAAAATAATGTAAGAACATGCACACCAAGTGTAACTACCAACACAACCATAAAACGTTTTTCTTTGTGCCCCAGAAAATATGAACGTACTTTCTTTTTAAATGTAAAAAAAAAAACCACTTTGAAATAGCTTTACAAGATATTGGGAAAAATTCGGCAATGCCAGATTGGTACAAGGAAGGATCACCCAGTAGAATTTTAGATTTTAGTATAAGGAGGATTTGGGGTTCATGCCAATGGAGATAGGGGAGTTCTGTCTACTTTGGGAAAGTGAGTTTCAAAAGGAGGGACCATTAAATTGAAAAGGTTATGTGACAAAGAAGAGGGTTTGGGCTGCAGACTATTATCATCTTTAGAAGCTTGGAGAAGTTCGGTTTTCTCTCCTCCGGTCTCTTAGCAGCATTCCCTTGAAATGGTTAAATCTTGACCACAAAAGCTTAGCTCTGTAGTTTGGCCTTATTTACAGCTTGAAGGAAATTTAGTGGATGAGGCAAAAATGCCTTTACTTCTTTTAGAGAAAGCTTATAAAAAAAGAAGCTGAATTCAGGGGTAAAATCCAAGGTTGTGGCCTAGCAGTGCCTATACATAAACATATTAATGTAATTTAAATGTATTCTTTAAATACTTATTGAATAAGTGAATTTCCCCAGAACACAGACAAGGCAGTTCTATCAGTTGTGAGAACAACGTCAGGAGATTAATTTTCAGTCATTACAGAAATGCATGCTCGCTCTCTTCATTCTGCAGAGTTGCTGAAGGAGCTATTCATACACATGCATGTAGTATGTTTATCATGTAAAGCTTGCTCCAGAAGTATCACTTTACACTGATAGAGATGAATATGTAAGAAACAAAGGAATTGCATGCAGGGTGGTAGGAAAGAGAAATACTGTACCAATTGGCAAGGGGCATCCAGCCCATCGAGGCCAGGCTGGCCTGGCTCCCCTTTTTCCCCCTTAACGCCACGGAATCCCTGTTTGTAAAGATTAACTCATAATGTTACTAACACAAGAAATCACTGAAGCACAAATTCAGCTAAAGAAATAACTACAGTAAGAGAAGGCTGGGAGAGGAGCAACTCTGAAGGGAAGAGTAACATTCAGTGAAGCTGGACAAAATAAAAGTGTGACATAGTACTATCATTAGGGCTTGTCTGTAACAAAGACCTCTTCTGAGTGGTATGGCATAGCGCCGGCTCCTCCCTGGATCCTACACTCACAATCAAGGTGCACGTCAACACTTGAGTGTTAAGAAACCAGGCAGAGCCAGTGGCCTGACACAAGGTGTGGAACATATGAGGAGAACCTAAGATAGACGTTTCTGGAATCTTAACGTCTCTGCTATCCCCAGTCAGCACCCCCACTGTTACGGGTCCCTCCAGCTTGCTCTTCTCCCACTCAGCCCTTCACACGTGACATCCGGAGACAGAGTCCATGAGTCAGACATACCAACGGGCACGGTGCATCTAATCCAGGAGCACCCTGTTCTCCTTTCTCCCCTTTAGGCCCCTTTTTGCCTTTCTTTCCCTTTTCCCCCTGTGGATACAAGGGTTTAAATAAAAGACAGGTTTTATTTAGGGGGAAATAATGGCGATTCAAAAGATGGTTTAGCCAATACAAGTCTGGAAGAGCATTTACCACTGTTTTTGGTTTAGGTTAGGCATGAAATTACAAAAAGTAATTTTTACTTTCTGAGCGACAGTGGATTCTGGGTAGTGATACACGCGGGACTTTATTTAAGCTCAACAAGATGAAAGCAAACCTAAGAGGCCGTCGCTTTGGAAGGGAGGGCCAGCGCTGCCCCGGAGCGCAGTGCCTTGTGCTGGTGAACGAGGGGTTTCTGCCGTGCACCTGCAGCGCGCGCCGGACGCCAACCATACTGAAGCCAGCCAGCGGCAAGGGAATTTCAGAGAAGTCATGGATACTTCACCCCATTTTCAATACCTGTCAGCTTGCTCCTTTTGGTAACCCTGTTACAGATGGAAGCTACACTGAACCAGAGGAAAGGGGAAGAATATTAACAGCTTTTACCTTTTAGGTATGCATCCAATTTTATGACATTTTTTCTAGCTCTTATTAAAAAATACTCAATGTATTAAAAATATGCTTCTGTATCTTTTAACATTCTTTCTCAGGAAATTAAAAGTGAATACTTTATTAAGTCAGGTAAACCAATTTTAAAAGTACTAATACTTCTCTGTAATGCCAATTGGAGAAAAGGACTTATTCACAAACCCAGGATGTTTTTTAATTCACTCTTATTGATCTCATGCCAGGTGTTTGCAATGGTAAATGGGTTTCCAGCTTACAATATAACGAGAGCCCGTAAAACCAAAACCCAAACCAAATTCTGTTCAAGAGAAGAAAAGCAGTTTGGACTTAGTTGAGCTAACATTAAAAATGAGGTAGGCAGGATAATGACAGTGGGAATGTAGCCATGGAAATTAGTATTTAGGAATCAAGGTAAAGGTTGTGGAAGTCTGCATGGATCACAGCAATGGAGGAATAAAGGAAAAGAGGCAAAAGGAGGAGAAAGAAGGAATGCACCTCAGCTGTTTCACATTCACATAAATATCTCTGCATATTTATAGACAAGAAGCTGGTGCCATATGGAATACAAAATACTATGCAATACATATTTAAATCAGTGTATTCACTGCAATCAGGATGGCAGTTACAATAAAAATGAACTCGAAGCAAACCGACATGAATATCCAAAGACATTTACATAATAGATATATATGAGATATGCATTCAAATTAATGCATTCATTCTGTGTGAGTGAAAGCGCCCCATTTATCTCCTGTGTGCCAAAAAGACTTCATCAGAAGGCTCGGAATCAAAAAGAAGCCCGGGTGCAACGAGAGAGTCGGTGGGATAGGAAGTAAGATGGGAGGAGCATTTGGAGTAAAGTGTCACTCAGGCAAGAAGAATCAACATCCTTCCTCAGCCAGTGACTTCAGGGCTATGACATGAAATTGATTTAAAGTGGTTTAGGTGACCTCTTCCCATCCTAGAGGCAGGGGACTCTTCTTCACATAGATGTGGCTGACACTTTAATTTACAATTCATTATTTGATTGGGGAATCAACTCAGATTAATCACTCAACAGAAAAGTATTGTCCTATGAAGGCTGACTGTAACAGGCTATGGGAATCATTTTTCAGTAATATTTTAGGGAATCTCAAGCTTTATCTCTTCTTTCATCTCCTAAACAGGCATCATTGTACAATGCATTATGTATCAGTGTTATCAATCAATGTACTTTTGTAACAGCAATTCCCTGTGCAACACAAAACCATCTGTCATCGTGGGTGTGAGCACAGGAGTCCTGCTGATTTTCCTCTCTTCGTGTCAAAAAATGATATAAAGTGTTCACATTTATCTAATATTCCTAAATATACAACTTCTAATTATGGAATCTAAAATACAGAATACTTTTGTATGGGTGACAAACATTATTCTGAATATTACATGTGCAGCTTTATGTCTTCAGTTATAATACTGGTAATTTTTCTTCTCTATTTAAAAGATCATTAAAATGAGTATCCTCATAATGGTGAAACACTTTTGAGTGTGTAAGATTTTAGACTTATACAATCCATTAGATAAACATAAAGTAAATGCTTAGAATCTTAAAGGCACACCTTGGACTAAAAGGCTGCATGCACAGTTTATCTCAAAACAAGTACATTTTATAGTTAGAATTTATAACTCAGAATAAAAGAACACATTTATGCCTCTGTTTCCGTTTCTATGAAAGGGGACAATAATGGCACCAACCTCACAGGATTGTTATGAGGATGACAAGATGTATCATACGTAAAACTTTGGGAGAGCACATGGTAAGTGTTCCCGGAATGTGATGTTGATGATAATGGTGATCATGGCACTTTTACACAGCGACTCACACGCACTCTCTCACCGATGGGAAGCTACGTCATGTTTAAGGTCTGAAGAATACACAGCAGGCCTACCCCGCTTTCTTTGACAGCTCTCATTTGGCTTTGATTTTCAGCAGCTAAGGATTTCACCACTAAAGAGAATTTAGTGTTTTGAAAACAGTGTGTTGCTAAGGAGAGCAGGACATAAATTAATCTAAGAAATATAATTAGTTTAAATTTGAACTGTTCAAAGTGCAATTTCGGCCAATTGGAGGTTTTTACTCTTCAACTGAGGTGCTGAGTTTTGGGGGCTGAGTTTTTGTTTGTTCCTTTTGCTGTGCCCAGTGCAAAAAATTGTTCTTCAAAGGCCCAAGCAGAGGGAAGAGGAAAGGAACAAATGATTTAAAAAGTCCATAAACCAAGTTTGCTTTCAGACATAAAATAATTTTTGATATTGGCTCCTATATGCCCTGGAGCTGATGGTCCTGAGATAGATCCTATACACCAACCTCATAAAATACACCAACATCTTAATTTAAAGATATCTACAGCATCTGCAAGCATTAAGTTCTACTCCCTGCATAATGGACTCACTGGGGTTTAACAGTCACATGGCTTGTCCTCCATTTTTCAATCAAAAGATCAGCTTACAGGACAGACTTGTCTCTACCAGGCACGATGTGAGAGTGCACGAGATACTGGCTTCCCAGCGTGAGGTGAGTTCTGCCTGAAGACCTTTGCAGATCTATGCTATTTAATTTACTTTAATGTAATAAATGCCTTTTTTTAAAAGAATCCCTTGATATTATATCTTTCAATAAATTGGTGTCAGATAGTTGAAAGATTGTAGCCTGGCTATCTAGGGATATAATTTTTTTCTTTTATACTAGACAGTGCCCTTATTTCTGGCATGTGGCCTTCTGAAAAGGCCTGATTCCTATATCAGGCATCATCAGGGTGTTTTTGGAGCACAGGATGTAGAAAGATTAGATGTAGGAAAGAATCACACAGGGTGAACAGCAAAGCAGACAGCACGAGAAACATCCAACGGGCACATATCAGGACAGAGAGGTCACCTTTTCTCCCTTTTCTCCGAGATCACCCTTCTCGCCTCGTGGACCAGGGAAGCCCTACAGGATAAAACAGAAACCACAAAGATCTATTACTGTAATGGTGGCAAAATTATATTTAAAAAAATTTTAAGATTTTGTGTTTCTGAACCCAAATATAAGCAAAAATGGCATACCCAAAAATCTCAAAACTTAGGTAAAGTAGCACTTAGAAATAATAGTTTTCTAACATCTCAGTTATACATATAATAGGTTTCTTGATCTTTCTCCTAAGAAAGGTACATTAGAGAGGATGTCAGGATCCACGTTTGAATCCTGGCAAGTTCACTGATTTGTGTGGTCTTGGACAATTCACTTACCTCACAGCATTTTAGTCCCTTGACCATAAAATGGGGTTAAATGTTAACTACAACACAACTGTTGTGTGTGTTAAAGGCGATGCTGTATATAAAGTACCAGAACGATGCCTCCACATAACAGATGCTCAATAAACAGTCACTACTGTTACTTTTGCTATTGTTATTATTCACATAATACAGGATAGGCAGTCATCATTTCAAGAGGCATTCACTTTGACATTCTCTGTTTTTATAGAATTGTGTTACTATAAGATATATGCTAAAAGGAAAAAATACTGCACATTTGAGAGTAAACATAATATACTATTCTTTAAGGATAGGATGTGAAAGATATTTCAATGTTATGCATACTTTTAAGTAAGTGGTTCAACTGTTGATATTAAGAGTGTCCCTAATTTGAGAAGGTGTTTTCAAGTGCTATGATCAACTGCCAGTTATTAATTTTATGACATCATTATATCTTTTGCTTTTATGTTTGTCTTGTGCAGACGCTAGTGATGTATTTTCTGTTGCTGTCCACATGTACAGCAACTTACAGTGTATACATAACTGTGCACAGGAAAAAATAAGTATTTTTGCTGTACTTGATGATGGAGACCATCAGCATTGTAATATATAATACAAAGATGTTTATTGTACATATTACTTACATCAAGACCAGGCTCTCCATCTTTCCCCTGCCAAAGAACCACAGTAACTACATTAGTGTTCCTCAGTTTCATGAGTGGGTTATTGTTTTACTTAAGGCTGTCTGGACATGCAACAGTGGTATTAGAACACTTTTTCCAGAAATGTGACAAAGATTCTCCATTGATTAGTAATACAAATTTCTTCCACTAAATCAAGTGACGTGACTTAATGTTTTAGTTAAGGGTCATGAACATTTTTTATTATACACTGAGTTAAGTAGTTTGATATTTTGCTAGAGTTTAATGCTTGGCATCCAACTAATCAATCCAGAAACAAGTGCTATGATCAACTGCCAGTTATTAATTTTATGACATCATTATATCTTTTGCTTTTATGTTTGTCTTGTGCAGACGCTAGTGATGTAACAAGTTGAAAGCAAAAATACTGTTTAGTTGATTTAAAAACACACTGGCCCCAACATAGTATGCAATTCAATGCTACTTTAATTTGGTAACATAGTAGTTAGCTCATAAATGAGAAGAATGTGAAAACTGTTTATTGTTAAATATAGTTTCAATTTGGCTAGATGTGCACCTTGTCTATAAATATTGAGGACGTGAAGGTCACAACTTAAAAACTTTGTAAGTAAGCTTCGTAAGTGAATGATCCCTAAATATAAAAGCAGCCATAAGACTGTTGTACAAGGATGATATAGTCACCCCCCCATGCAGATTCTCAGGGCAATGACCCTATTGTGTCACAAACGATCCACCCAAAGTACACATAGGCTGTTGCTTTGATTCCGTCCATCAGATTTTGAAATCTATTTCAAAATGAGCATCTCTTTTAGCAGTGAATGGCTTAACTTTATTACTCCAGTTCATAAAAACTGGAAGGTACACAGGGGTTAAAAACCTGAATACAGTATATGCTTCCACTGTAGCCCTACCCTACCCAATTGAATCATTTATAATTCTCCCAAAGATAATGTTCTGAGGCAAACCCAAAACTGCAATGTGAAGTCTGTGTAATGGAAAAATTTCAGAAGACAGAGCACCATTAACATTCTATGTTCTGAAGATTGCTTGTTATCACAGTAATTTTAGAAAGGTTAGAAACATCAAAGTCATCATAAACATCAATTTGAGAAATAAGTTTTATTAGCAAGAATAGCTTTAGTAAGCAAAATATGAGAACAAAATCTGAAAAAAGTTGTTTTAATAAAGCTTCCACACCCACTTCTGGTGCAGTGACCTTCCGAGGAAGTGCCAACTAGGGGCACCCAGTCAGAGGGCGGAGGAAGGGCGTTCACTGACGGTGGGAATCCTGCGCTCAGGTTAGTGCGACCTATGAGCCTCCCCATGTGGGGGCGTGTGTGGGTGTGTCTGCACATGAGTGGGGGAATATGACACGAACACGGCCTCTCTTGGAAGGACATGGGTATGCCGCTGTTGTAGAGAATTAGTGAACTGTGCACTGTGCTTGTTCCCCTTAAGTGATTAGTTAACTGTGCCAGTGACAGGACATTCATGCATGGTGAAGGTGGAGACCATGCACGGAACAGAGAACTTACAGGCAGACCATAGGGCCCTCTGGGTCCAGGCTCTCCCACAGCTCCCTTTTCACCCTAAAATGAAAGGCAGAAAGTTCAAACCACACACAAGCACCTATAACCACACACTTTCCCTGATAGCTTGCATATAAAGCCTCTATTTGAAGTCTCATTCTATCAAATTCCAAGGATTCAGACTCTTCTAGGGCTGCTGCCAGGGACAGAATTGGAGAAACCCACACCAGCATACGCCACCACTTCCCTCTGGGCGGCGGCGAGGAAGACTGCGGTTGTCGGGTTGTGCAAATGCCCTCGCACCTGGGCTTCTCTGGCGTTAGTGTGAAACATTTATTTGTCGCTATTTTAAGTTACCTTTTTTCAATGTTAAGAATAAAATTCCTTTCTCCTCCCTATCATATGTTCTTTTGCAAACCTTTCCTTGCTTGCCCTTTACCGCCGGACCCTTAACTGTGCCATAGCTCCTCCTGGCATTCACACACCAGGAGACTCAGACGTGACCCTCTGTGTTTTCTCTGCTGAGGCCCCCACTGGAATAGGCACACGAGGTGCCAGGGCCTCCAGCTTTGCTCCCTCCTGCATTCCCATGCCTCACAAAAGGGTCTGGCACATCAGTAAATATTTGTTTAATTAGTGAATGAAGCCAAATAAATACAGTCATACACGTTTTACTTCCTTTCCATAAAAAGGGAGTTTAAATCTTTTAGACCTTCTACTAAATGCCTAATGAGGTAGATACATATTACACTTATCACGTTCTCTATGTGCTACTTAAACTAAATAGCTTGCCTGGCTTAAATGATAATCTTGAGTGTTTATAAAGAATAAGTGTAATCAGAGGTGGTCCCATGAATATGAAATATCTGTGGCAAGAAAGAGATCTTCTGTATGTTGAATAGGGTTTTTTTCCTGCTGCCATCTCCAAAATTAAAGTGTGTGTCAGTATTCAGAATGCAAACAGTGTGAACTTTAGGAGTAACGCTGATGTTTACATGAGTGACTGAACAGAAATTGTTACCTTCTTTTATCAAACCCCTGAAGAAGTGTGAAGGTTGGCAAATGTTTGTCATGAGTAAAATGCCAAGGTCAGCAGATAACTGCATGTGGGTCCAAGTATGCTGTGTTTCTCCATCCTCTACGTTTCTGCATGAGCAAATTTCAAGTCACTGTTAACATGCTTCTCTAATCTAAACTTAAAGAGTTAGTGGACCTCATTAGTCCTGTCACCTAGAAGCACATACAGTATAGTAGGATTACTGAAAATAAGTACGATAAAAGCCTGCTGAGCTTTTACTCATTGTTACTTTAGGTCTGTTGTGGAAAGAGCAGCAATTACATTTGGTAAAGTGCCCAGGCTTTGAAATAAACCAATTTAAATTTGAATCTGGCCACTAGTTCTGGCACTTAGTGGCTCTGTGGCCATGAGTAACTTTCTTAACCCTTCTGTGCCTGAGTTTCTTTGGCTATAAAATAAGAATAGTAGTACATACTCTGTGAGAATTTTTCTGAAGATTCAGTATGACTTATAAAATGTGAAATTATATGTAGCCAAATAATATGTCCCACAAATAGTAGCTATCATTATGATGGTACCACTAGAGGTCTTTCAAAAAGAGGGCTCGGCAACCTAAAGAGCACTAATTCAAAATACAGTGCTTTTGGTTTGATCTGACAGTGTAATTTATAATTTTTAAAATGGTGGTAGTGGTGTGTGTGTATGTGTGTGTGTGTGTGTGTGTGTGTGTGTGTGTGTGTGTGTGTGTAGTGCGAGCTGGGGAATTGAAGGAGGGATCACGTAACCTGGAGGAAATCTGGTTTGAAAAAACAGATTAGAGTAGATTTTGTTTGAAAACTCTCTACAGATTATTTTGATATGTCTATTCCCTTGGCCCTCTGCTGATTGGGTACTTTGGCTTTATTCTGTTTCTAGAATGAATATACCATGGCTTACTCGAAGTAAGCTGCCACTAAAACATTTGTCTGTGGAACTCCTCTTGCCCACCCCCAAACAATTACTTTAAGCTACTAATGACAGTTCCCCCTCGTTTGCCAGAGACTGCTTCGGAAGTGGACATATGACCACCTGGCCAATGAGGTGGCAGGGGAGGTCAGCTGGGACGCTGAGGGGAAGATTTCCTCCCCGCTGTGGAGGAGACACTGGGGAGACAGACTGCCCTCTGTGGATGCCTCACTGGAGGGGAGGCTGGGAACCCCTGCGACCAGCTTGCTTATGGTCCGCACTGGAAAGGGCACAGAAGTAAAGCCTAGAGACCCTCCTTTGAATAATTTATTATGTAAAATAATACATTTCTTTATTGTGCAAGGATTGGGGTTCTGTTAGTGAGAGCCAAAAGCATTCTAATTGTCCCAGCTTGAAAACTTTTAGGAATGAAATATTCATCCAGGGATTTGAATGTACAACTTCCTTTCCTGAATTAAGCAATTTCAAAAGAACTTCTGAACCCTTCAAGTATAACACCCTCTACAAAGTTCCTAAGCAGTTACAAGGCCAGATGAAGAAATCAGCTGAAGGCAAGGATCATCAGGTTCTTGAAGAGCTGAATACTAATGCTGTCAGTCATGTATTTGACAATTTCTGAATGACACTGTCTGTCAAATGCCTGGTTTCCTTCAGGCTGGTCTAATTTCATTCAGGCTCTTAAATTCGCCTGTCTACAGAGGAATTCTTCAAGAATGGTCCCCTTTCCTGATTTCTCCCTCTTTAAAGTTTGAAATTTTTTCAAGAGAGTCCAGATGGCACCTCAATCAATTAACTTTGAGAATCACACTCCAGTTTAGCACTTGGGGTGAGGGGCACTTGGAGATACTGATACACGATCCAGTTAAGATAGTTAGCATGCTGAGGAAATACAAGTGTAACACTTTACACTGCACACCATTTGACTTAAACTATGTCTTCAAAAATTCTTAGCGATTTCATCTGCTCTTCGGGTTAATCCTGACCCAGCATCGAGACCTGATACTCTTGTGACACTGTGGAGCTTTCGGAAGTAGCAGCTGATTTACCGAATGGTAAACCCTCTTGAGCCCCGGGGCATTCTGCCAAAAGACTACTTGAGATTTGCTGCTCCATTTTTAGTACATGTACTGGATTTCTTTATACAATGCCTGAATGCGTCAGTAGCATGAAGCTCTTAGCTTTTAAATATTTTTAATTAAGATGATCTTCATAAGTCATTGGTTTGATCTTAGAAATGAGACAATTGAAGATCTAGATTATTTATTCCTTTAGGACTCGTCTCTGTCTAGAAACATTGCTGGAGAAAGCCAGCCGTCCTTGTCATCATATGTACAGCCTGCACTATTTGTATTTGCTTTGGCCTCATCTGGTTATTGCTTTCAGATATTTTCTTCCTTTGCAATTCCCTGATCCTGTAACAGTATTGAGTAAATATATACAGTGTAATAATAAAAAGTTATAGGGTGATGAATTGATTATAATGATATTACTCAATTCAGTGGATCAAATTAGCAAAATTGACTTTACATAGTGGGGGAGAGTGTTTCCAGTGTACATCAGGAATAACACCATGTTTTGTCCATAGTAACACATGATAAATATTTACTGAATAAATGAATTCACTTTATAGAACACAGAATTATGGAATAGGGATGTACACCAAAGAACTCACTACATGGCCTTCTATTTTAGAGCAAATTATTCCAGCCTGATGAAACCCTGCCTAGTTTTAAAAAGACCACAAACTTGCACAATGAATCATTCCCACACTTGGAGCCCTCACTATCAGGATACTTTCTTTACATCCTATCCTGGATGGTGAAGAAATTGATGACACAATTCCATGCAGACACACAAAAAACCCTCTGAGTTTTCCAAGGTGTGGAAAAGAAAAAGTGGGAGAAAAACAGAAAGAGGGAGAGAAGTTCCAGACAGATGACGAGTGGCTGATGCTGCAGACATTTTTTCGTGTCAGATATTTATCTTCCACACGAATGTCTTTTTTTTTTTTCCAAAGGATATGGAAACATGGCCTAGCAATAGAAAGGTTAGGGAAAGGTTTTCGTTTTATAATGCACTGAAATTATTTCCTTATGGTTCAAGAAAAACAGGCTATTCTTTTGCTTTAAAAAAAATGACGCATGTGTAACTGTGCAGAGAATACTTCAGGCTTTTTCATTTCCTTTAAAAAAAAGTCCTAACTTACTCTGAATGAACACAGTAGCTTTATATAAAAGATTATCAACCAGAATTTGTAGTCCTGGAAATATAGCTCCATTGACTTCAACTCTCTGGATTAAGGCCAAATGAAAATATGGGTTAAGGAGGCAGGGGCTGAGCTATTTATTTTATCTATGTAAATATACCTATTGTTTTTTTATGAAGGCAGCCATTTCTATTTTAATGTTCTGCTGTTCTCTTCTCTCCAAGTGAAGAGTCTGAATAGAACTTCAGATGGTATCTATTTTTATGTAATTAGCTGGCTCTTTATTTCTTCTGGACAGCGAACAGTTCAGTTCAACTAAAATGGAAAAGCCACACTCTGTGTTTTCTTTAGGTTACAGCTTAATAACCTCAGGGGCAACTTACTCTTTCTCCTTTGGGACCTGCAGGGCCATGGGGTCCCATAGGGCCATCTGTACCCTAAAAGAAGATAAAAATAAGATAACATGAGACATATCCTAAGGGCTGTAATAAAAGCAGTTATAATTTATCCTGGATTTTTCCTGGGTGAATGATGCCTTAGAATGTCAGTAGGTCTGCTCATCTCCTTTCAAAGGGTTTTATACTTGATTCCTTTCAGGCCAGTAGTTTTCAAGAAACGCATGCAAAAGGGATGAGTTATATAACTGCATATTTCAACAAAGGGCACACACAAAAAGCTGTACATCATATTTAAATATATATTTCTCTAAATGGACTAAATGGAACATCTTCACTTTGTCCGTATAATCCTGAGAAAAATGTAACAGTTTCTTCTTTGCATCACTTCTTCTCACGTCCATGTGCCCCCATTCCTCTCCTTGGCCATGAATGCTCTAATGCCCTGTTTTCAGATGTTTAAGAGGCTTGAACAGTTATACAAGTAGAAAAAATATTAAACAAATGAGAACAGTGTGTAACTGTTCAAACTTTCTTTGGCTCTGTTGGGAGCAGCAGGGAGCTTAGAGGGAAGAAATTATTCTTATAGGTTCTGCTGTAGTGGCTGAAGTCACCAGGCTTACAAGGTACAAGCCAGGCAGCTGGATGATTTAATGGCATAACTGCCCTCTGGCCTCCTGGTTCAGGATTAGGATTTCTTGGCAGAAGAGCCAGTATCTGAATGAGCATAGAACACTGAGGTCCAGCGAAAACAGTGACTGCCTGAAGCGGGTTTTTAGGATTGAAGAATTTGGGATTTCTTTTTGAGTCTTAAAAATGTACTAAGGACTTGAAGTATATTTGCTCATTTCTAGGAAGACTGCTTTGATTTGCAAATAATTTATTATAGTATTTTCAAACATTAGAACTATTCCAGCATGATTTTTATAGTATTCTTCTTTCTGTTCTACTATTCTTGTTGAGTCTATTAAAGCATTGTGACATGAAATTACTTAGGATTTTAAACTCATTCTAAAGTTGGTGAAGTCTCGTCATCTTAACTGATATTTTTCTTACTACCTGAACTCAAACTAAGAAGATTTCTAAACATGAGTATCTGCAGCTGAAATTTAAGAGATGGAACTGTGAAGGACCAAAGAAAAAAGACAAAAATGACAGAAGACAGACAAGTCATTTTGATGAACAGAGATTTGAAAGTTAGTTCCAAAAAAGAAGTTACGTTTTTAATATGGACAAAAACATAAAAAGAAAAACAAGGTAAAATAAATTCCTATTACTTTAATCCCTTCAGAAGGCCCCTCTCTTGAAATTATAGTAAATATCCATTGGTTATAGAAAAATTTGTCTAGGATTCTAAGACAATGAAGCCACTTAGATTGGTCATTCTTCCCACTTGAGTTATCCAGACTGAGACCTGGGTTTCAGAAAGACATTCTGCAGTCTAGGCTGTATGTCAAACAGAGCTACAACCCACGCTCTGTCCACCTTTCTTGCTCCTGCTACTACTTTTGTCCACCTTTTCTCATTCCAGTCCTATGTACCTCCCATCAAGTGAGAAGAGTAAGTGAGGCAAAAGGCTCTGTACTGAAGCACAAAATTCATAGCCACAAAACACGTTGGAGCAAGATGAGGTACTGACTCACCCTGGATCCTGGCTTTCCGTCTAAGCCAGATGCTCCCTGTGTGATTTGTTGGTAGCAGAGTTGGTGGGTGTAACACGAATGACAAGAACAGAGATTAGTATGAGGTACCGATAAACAAATGCAACACTTCAAACAACATAATATGCAGCCACAGGGTTCTGGGATAAATATCACATTGCTACAAATTGTTAGTTCAAAAAAAAAAAAGAACAAAAACAAAAACAAAACACACGACGCTTAACACCCCACAGATGATGGCATTTTAATGACATTTCCATTCATCAAATTATTATTTAGAAATCTAGATAATGAGGTTTATAAAGTGGGCTTGAAACGAGTGACTGGTAACAGTGAGAGTCTGCTAATTTCTCTTTGAAATTCATTTTCTAAAGACTGTATACCATTTACAACATATTTCCTTAGGTTCCAAAGAAACAATAATGCCAAACGCCTAAGAAAGGGCTCATTATAATGACTGACCACAGTTAGAATTTCAGAGAAGAAAAGAACTCTAGTTTTGCTTGTTAAAACAACACTTAGGAACAACAAATGCAGAATTTTAACGTGGATGAACAATACTCATTGTTTTCTGGGTGGTTCTTACTGCGTTCACTTTAGTCACCACTAGAGGGACTTCTAGTAACAGCAAAAAGCCAGAAAAATTTCATGAGTCCAAACAGAAAACAACTATTCCAAAAAAAGTCGTTCCTCAATTCACTTCAAATAATCCTTGCATCAAAACCTAAATGAGAAATGCTTTAAAAACTTAATGGCATTCTCAGGCAATGCAAGCTTCTCTTTACCTTGAACTCTAGCCTATGCATAGTGTATGATTAAAAGGCGACATTGCAATGCATGTTTCAAGAATAAGGACAGTTACTCTTAAATTTGGCTCTTGTATCTCAAAACTCAAATATTTATGGTGCTTTACAAATATTGATTAGATCAACGAGTATTTAAGAAAGACAATGCTCTAGGTCTCTAAGTTCTCTTGGCAAGGTTGAAAACTATTTCCCCATTTTATGCTTCAGATGTAGTTAATAATGTAACATGGAAGAAAAAATTTGTTCCAGCTGCAAATACTAACAGTGATGCTATACCATATATATTTTGGGTACTTTCAGTTTTTTATTTTACAATCCCTTCCTATTATGAGTCAGACAATAACTACAAGTATATCTTTAGTTAGCAATGATCAAAAACTTTTAAAACTTGGTATTGGTTGTTTAATGCTATTGTATGTAGAGCTCTAAGCTAAATTGTTGTGTAAAAATTATCACTGGCCCTAACTTTGAATAGGGCAAACTTTAAGGAGTAAGACTGAAGATTTAAATAAAATGTAATCCAAACTTTCTTTGGCCTATTGATACTTTCTTCAGTCACCATTATTACATTTAAAGATGAATAGGGAGATGACAGAATTTTTGTGCCAATGATGTAATGCTGTATTTACCTGAGTGTGAATTAATGATTCACATATGTTACAGAGGTCCTATGCATGGGCCCATTGACCTGATTGGTATGATTTAACCTATTTTCTATTAAAAGGCCTATATCATTCAATCTAAATGAATACATATCAAGCAGCTACATATTGAGCATATTGAGCAACTGTGCCTGATTTATTTAAGGGATTGCTTATCAAGTAAAACACTTTGGTGCTTAAAATAGAGTACCCATGGGAAAAATGAAATAAAAGTGGTCAACAACTTTTTTGATGTGTAAAATATGTGTAGAAACTATTTCTACTATTAATTTTGTGATCTTTTAATAATGTAATCTATTATGTTCTTTAGTGACTCTCATCTGCAGTCACTGAATAGATAGCCTATTAAAAGCTTGAAACTAAAAAATCATACTTAATAATTTTTTTTAAAATGACACTTTTTAGAGTTGTGGAAAGAAGACTGGCATACACTGCATGAAAGGTGAAAATTCCCTGTTCATTAAAAATAAAAATCTCTAGACTACTGCAAAATACTTCAGCCTCTCCGCTATTGCCATAAGGCTCTCTCAAGAGGGCATTTCCAAAACAAACAACAAGCGACATGGAGACCATGATGTGACTGATTAAAAAGGAGTCACAGTACAGACCTCACACCATCCATCAACAATGGCACTTGCTTATCTGCTATTGACAGAAGGCTATATTTTTTGGTACTGAAGGAGAAAAACCAAAAAATTGAGGGAGAATTGTAAAGTAAATTGCACTGCTGTATAAAAACATTTGGGGAAATTCTGAAATAACTCAGTACAATACTTTTAATTTTTTTGAATTTTATTATTTTTATTTTTGTATTTTATATTTATTTTGCTAAGTATAAATACATTTTTTTCTAGCTTTGTTTTGTTCTGTTTTGTTTTTATTAAGGTATTATTGATATATACTCTCACGCCGCCATCTTTAATCTTTCAGTGCAATACTTTTTAAAGGCGGAGGGTGATGGAATTGTCATCCTTAAGAGAGGAAAGCCGGCATGTATGTGATTGAGTGATAGAACATTATGGCCCTGTTAGTTATAGGGTGTCCCGCTGACACGAAAGCAGATATCAGAGAAAACAAAACTGGGCTGGGCTCTACTCTAACATAGTATGTTTCTCAATTACAGAAATCTCAATGGTAAGATAGTTACTGAGTAAACCAGAGTTGTTACTAGGGTAGAAAGAAAAGTCTGAGATTTGCACTGAAATGGAAAGTTTTCTTTACTTACTGGAAGACCAAGGGGTCCTCTGTCACCCTTTTGACCTGGTTCACCCTTCAATCCTTTAACACCATTTAACCCTGGTTCACCCTAAATGCAAAAGCAAATGCCAATTTTGGTTGCTATATGGGTGTTTCAACTGCGAGAGAAGAGAGCCAGTCTCTGAAACGGTTGCAGATTCCAGTTTTACGTAGCAGCAGAGTCAGGCCGGATTTGTCTTGCATAAGTTCAAAATTAATGAAACTGTGAAAATTTTACTAATAAATTTTTAACAGTTAATAAACTGAAACTGACATTTAAATAATAGTCTAGGAAGCAAAACTCCTATGAAAGTGTGTTCCTTACAATGAAAATACATATGATACAGTTCCTGAATTTTTCAGTTCTACCTCAAGGAAATTGGTGAAACCCATTTCTTGTAATCAAGCAAATCAAAGAGTGGTGGGTAATGAGGGAGGTTCAGGAGGAAAAACCCACTCTGCTGGAATGGAAAACTGGAATATGCAGGACAGTGTTATATACAGGTATTTTAAGCCTTTAAGCATCTTTCCCAGAAGAATGAGCTAAAAATGTAACAGCTGATGTTTGAAGTAATGCCATGTAGTGAGTTCTCATTCACTGACATTGCCAAGTCAGCTCAGCTCCCTACATGGATTAATCAATAGAATAGACAACAAATAGCTAATCCCAGAAGAGAACATGAAGATCACAGAACTGAAGTGTAGTTTTGTAACTGTCTGTCTGCCCAATGTTAGAACAAAAGAGGTTTTGATTTTAACATAAGGTGACATTACAAAAGTCATCATAAGTGATGGGTTCTCTTTGTTTTTTAAAATACAGCACACCTATTTTTCTATCAGCAGCATCATGATAGTTTTGACCTGTTCACTTTACAACTTTTAAGTACAGACATTCATTTCATCAAAAAAAAAAAATCTTGAAAGACTTGTGAAAGGAAGATAATTTCAGTCTCAAATGACCTACAGAGTCTTGCTGGGTGGGGTGGGAGAGGGGAGAGATTACGCTCACCTGGTGGGAGGCATTATTAACCTGGACAGTATTTCCCTCATTTGGCTGATGATGAAATGAGTCTGGTGCTTGTTAAACGTAAAGAATACAGAGCCCCCCTAGACCATTTTAGCACAGGAATGGGTTTTTAAAATAAGCCTTTCAAGTGATTATTCTCATCAGAAAACTCTGGGAAACACTAAGCTAGATTCATTCATGAAACCATGCTGTATATTTGAACTTTCAAAAGGGTCATAAAAGTAATAAACATGGATTTTTGGGATTCTAAAGATTGGATGTTTGCAATGCTGCCACTGTAGGAATTCCAAATGGGCTACGGTTAGTAAGTATGATCTTGGAAGTGTCACAGAGCTAATCAGTGTGAGACAAAGTCAAAGTTCAATAGTCAACTTCAGTCAACTGGTCCAAACTTGAGGTGGATGGCTTTGCGTGTATGTGAACTTGTAGTAAATGATTTTTGACATGATGAATAGGCAGGGAAACCTTGATAGGCTATGAAATTCTTTGAGGGGAGTGAGCATTATTTGAGAAGGTGAATTTATAAAAAACAAATTCAATGGCAAAAAGACCAAATTTCAACTCTGGACCTAAATTCTAGTCCCAGATCTGTCATTTAATTGACAGTGCAATTTAGGGCACATTACCTAAATTTCTTGGACCTACAGTTGATCATCTACAAAATCAAGGACCTAGCATAGGTAATCTGTGAAGTCTTTTCTACCTTACAATTCTCTGAAATCTATGATTTAAGTAACAACTGAAGTTAAGTTGGCAAAATAGTTAATAAAATAAAAAGTTAAGTAGGCAAAATAAATCAGTGCATTTTAGATATCAAAAGGATCTTGGACATCTATCAATCTAATGGTGATGGGGTATCTGAATCACTCATGGAATTAAAAGCAGTCTTGGGACTTTAGCTTGAGTGGTGCCTTAAAATCCAAGGAGAAGCCAACAGAGGGAAACTATTTAGTCCAGAGCAAGCTAAGAGGCCCAGAGAGGTTAGATAACTACCAAGACCACAAAGCTGATAGATGGGCTTTCTCTTCTGAGCCCCAGACAACATTCTTATCCCAAAGTATAATCCATGCCTCTGAGACACTGTCTTTCACTGGCCTTATCAGAAGGTGGGGTATTCTAAGAACAAGGAGGCATGAATTCTTCCCATTCTTGGGTGAGTCACTTGCCTGACTCTGAAAAGGAAACTCAGGTTTCTGGAGTCAGACCAATAACTCTGCATGCCCCCCACATCTGCAGTCCCCCAAAGTTGGGTGGGCAAGAGGGAGTTCCCGGAGGGGAGGGGAGGCTGCCTCTCAACTTTCTGATAACTAGTGCCAACATTGCATTTAAGTGTTCCCTCATCCTTCACATTTAAATGCACCAACTCACTACTGAGAAGTTTTAAAGAATCCTTGAACCTTCTCTTAAGCAGCCTTGAGGACTAGCTAAATTTTTCTGTTCAGCATAAAGTCCCAGACCAAATCACAAGACTTCAATAACAACTGAAATTTATTCAGTGTTTATTAAACAACTTCACTGGGTATCTTGCTAAGTGTTCTATAATCGTATCTTATTAAATCATGACAACACTAGTTGAGTAAATGAAGGATCAGAGAGTGTAAATAGTCTACCTAAGGAAACACAGCCTATCAGTAGCAAAGCTGAGATTAGACCATAGGTCCTCCTTGCATATGCTTCCTGGAAGAAGGAACTTGTCATTCAGAGCTCATTTTAATCCTTCAAGATGTCCTCTCATTCTACACATGGAAACCATCTTCACAATACAACCTTGCACTAATTCTGACAAAGAGGGGCTATTCTCCATTGTTCTCTTGTAGTCCAGAGTATGCAGTACATATATGTGATGCAATCTTCTCTTCAGTATAGCACACCTGATAAACCAGTCTCATTTTAGACCACTGCCTTCTGAGAAAGTACAAAATCAAGATGCAGAGTACTCAAAGCATCTAGATGCAGTGCTGCTAAGTGACAAGCAAGAATAATCAATAATATTTAAGTATAAAGCTAAAGATACCATAATAAGAAAGAGCACCTGGCCTAGTCTGAGAATCTCATCAGTTTCATTTCTAAATGGCTGACTTTGAGTGTATTATGAAGAATAACCAAAGAAACATACATAGTGCCACAGAAAAAGACAAAATGATGACTAATTGATCTCCAGGAGATACCAGTTGAATTTGTTGTCACTGTGTGTTGTGAGATTTAAACATCTGGATACTTAAAGGCTTAAAGATTGTCAACATTACTTGACAAATAAGACAGGACAGACATGCTTCCATCATGCTTCTCCACGATCAACAAGGAAACAAATCAAATAATCTAGGGATTTGTCGGATTACCTTTGGTCCAGGAAGTCCATGGGGTCCCTAAAAAACCGAAAAAAAAAAGTATTGTGAACCCACACTACTCCTGTTTCTCAAAGCTCCATTTTAAAAAATACATGTGGCAAATGTGAGATACTTGATGAAGTTATATGAAATTGAGGTAAGTCCTCAAAAACAGAAATTTGCTAAAGTTCCAGACTTTCAGTACCAGCAAAGAGGAGACCTTTCAATTATTAAGGGCTTTAGACCCAGGTACTGAGGAATCTAAAAGAGGAGCAAAATGAGATGACAGTCAGGTTTGGAACCCTGTTACATCAATTACATAAGACTATGGGAAGGATTCTTACATGAAAGTGCTAAGCATTATTACTTAGAATGCATTTAGTTTTACAAAGATGAATTCTTCAAGGTTCTTGTAAAATTGCTTACCAATGAAAGGAAGTATGTACAAATGAATCAGGGCCTTTTCCCTGTATTTTGTGGAAAACCTAAATATAGAGACTAGTCAACCTAAATTAACTAAAAATTACTGTGGATTGCTTTAAACTTTTTAACTGACTTAAATGAAGTACAGGTAGATATTGTGTATTTTACAAATTGAAGGTTTGTGGCAATCCTGCACAGAGCAAATTTATTGGTGCCATTTTTCCAACAGCTTTTCCTCCCTTTGTGTTTCCATGTCACATTTTGGTAATTCTTGCAATATTGCATTTGTTATGGTGATGTGCAATCAGTGATCTTTGGTATTACCCTTGTAATTGTTTTGGGGCACCATGAACCATGCCCATAAATTAGAAATGTGTGGTTTCTGACTGCCCCACCGACCAGCCTTCCCCTTCTCTCTCCATCACCTTGGGCCTGAAGATGAGAAGGGGAGACTGCACTGCTGCATATCATGATAAAATCTGAATGTGAGAGGAGCTGCTCCTTATGGATGAGCAAAGAAAGTGGTTTCTTGAGATGGAATCTACTCTTGGTGAAGATGCTGTAAAGACTGTTGAAAAGACAACAAAGGATTTAGAATGTTACATAAACTTATTTGAGCAGTGATAGGGTTGGAGAGGACCGATCCCATTTTGAAACGTCTACTGTGGGAAAAATGCTATTGGAGCATCATATGCTACAGAGAAATCGTTTGTGAAAGGAAGAATCAATCAATGTGGCAAACTTCATGGTTGTCTTATTTTAAGAAATTCCACAACCAAACCAACCTTTAGCAATCACCACTCTGATAAATCAGCAGCCATCAGCATTGAAGCTATCTCCTTCACAGCAGAAAGATTATGAAACACTGAAAGCTCAGATGATTGTTAGCATTTTTTAGCAATAAAGTATTTTTATGAAGATATCATTGATATACACTCTTTTGAAGGTTTCACGTGAAAAACATTGTGGTTACAACATTCACTGATATTATCAAGTACTCCCATACCCCACTGAAGTCACAGTCCATCAGTGTAGTAAGATGCCATAGTCACTACTTGTCTTCTCTGTGCTACGCTGTCTTCCCTGTGACAGGCCCCACCCCCACCGTGTGTACCAATCATAATACCCCTGAATCCCCTTCTCCCTCCTTCCACACCCTTCCTCCCCCACCCCTCTTCTTTAGTAACCACTAGTCCCTTCTTGGAGTCTGTGAGTCTATTGCTGTTTTGTTCCTTCAGTTTTGCTTCATTGTTATAGTCCACAAATGAGGAAAATCATTTGGTACTTCTCTTTCTCCACCTGGCTTATTTCACTGAACATAATACCTTCTAGCTTCATCCATGTTGTTGCAAACTGTAGGATTTGTTTTCTTCTTATGGCTGAATAGTATTCTATTGTGTATATATACCCACATCTTCTTTATCCATTCATCTACTGATAGACACTAAGGTTGCTTCCATGTCTTGGCTACTGTAAATAGTGCTACAATAAACATAGGGGTACATAATGTTTTTTTGAATCTGAGATCTTGTTTTCTTTGGGTAATTCCTAGGAGTGGAATTCCTGGGTCAAATGTTATTTCTATTTTTAGTTTTTTGAGGAACCTCCATATTGCTGTCCACAGTGGTTGAACTAATTTACATTCCCACCAGCAGTGCAGGAGGGATTCCCTTTGTCCTTTCTCCGCATCCTCCCAGCATTTGTTGTTCCTAGTCTTTTCTATGTTGGCCATCCTAACTGGCATGAGGTGATATCTGCATTTCTCTGTGGTTTTAATTTGCATTTCCCTGATAATTAGCCATGTGGAGCATCTTTTCATGTGCCTTTTGGCAATCTGAATTTCTTCTTTGGAGAAGTGTTTGTTCATATCCTCTGTGCATTTTTTATTAGGGTTATTTGCTTTTGGGGTGTTGAGGCATGTGAGTTCTTTATATATTTTGGGTGTTAACCCCTTGTTGGATATGTTGTTTACAAATATATTCTCCCATATTGTAGAATGCCTATTTGTTCTGCTGATGGTGTCCTTTGCTGTACAGAAGCTTTTTAGCTTGATGTAGTCCCATTTGATTATTTTTGCTTTTGTTTCCCTTGCCTGAGGAGATGCATTCAGGGAAAAGTTGCTCATGTTTGTATTCAAGAGAGTTTGCCTATGCTGTCTTCTACAAGTTTTATGGTTTCATGACTTACATTTAGGTCTTCGATCCATTTTGAATTTACTTTTGTGTATGGGGTTAAACAATAATCCAGTTTTATTCTCTTGCATGTAGCTATTCAGTTTTGCCAACACCAGTTGTTGAAGAGGCTGTCATTTCCCCATTGTATGTCTATGGCTCCTTTATTGTATATTAATTGACCATATATGCTAGGTTTATATCTAGGATCTCTAGTCTATTCCATTGGTCTATGGGTCTGTTCTTGTGGCAGTATCAAATTGTCTTGATTACTGTGGTTTTGTAGTAGAGCTTGAAGTTGGGAAGCATAATGCCCCCAGCTTTATTCTTCCTTCTCATGATTGCATTGGGTATTCGGGCTCTTTTGTGGTTCCATATAAATTTTAGAAATATTTGCTCCAGTTCATTGAAGAATGCTGCTGGTGTTTTGACAGGGATTGCATTGAATCTGTAGATTGCTTTAGGTAGGATGGTCATTTTGACAATATTAATTCTTCTTATCCATGAGCATGAGATCTATTTCCATTTATTGTATCTTCTTAACTTCTCTCATGAGTGTCTTGTGGTATTCAGGGTATAGGTCTGTCACTTCCTTTATTAGGTTTACTCCTACATATTTTATTCTTTTTGATGCAGTTGTGAATGGGATTGTTCTCCTGTTTGCTCTTTCTGCTTGTTCATCATTAGTATATAGGAATGCAACAGACTTCTGCGTTTTAATTTTGTATCCTGCAACTTTGCTGAATTCAGTTATTAGTTCTAGAAGTTCTGGGGTGGATTCTTTTAGGGTTTTTTTAATGTACAATATCATGTCATCTGCAAACAGTGACAGTTTAACTTCTTCCATACCAATCTGGATGCCTTTTATTTCTTTGTGTTGTCTGATCGCTGTGGCTAGGACCTCCAGTACTATGTTGAATAAAAGTGGGAAGAGTGGGCATCCTTGTCTTTTTCCTGATTTTAAAGGAAAAACTTTCAGCTTCTTGCTGTTAAGTACGATGTTGGCCATGGGTTTGTCATGTATGGCCTATATTATTTTGAGGTTCTTGCCCTCTATACCCATTTTGTTGAGAGTTTTTATCATGAATGGACGTTGAATTTTCTTGAATGCTTTTTCAGCATCTGTGCAGATGATCGTGTGGTTTTGTCCTTCTTGTTGATGTGGTGGATGATAATGGATTTCTGAATATTGTACCATCCTTGCACCCCTGGAATAAATCCTACTTGATCATGATAAATGAACTTTTCGATGTATTTTTGAATTTGATCTGCTATGTTTTGTTGAATATTTTTGCATCTATGTTCATCAGGGATATTGGTCTGTAATTTTATTTTCTTGTGGTGTCTTTGCCTAGTTTTGGTATTACAGTGATGTTGGCTTCGTAGAATGAGTTTGGGAGTATTCCCTCCTCTTCTACTTTTTGGAAAACTTTAAGTAGGGTAGGTATTAGGTCTTCACTAAATGTTTGATGAAATTCAGCAGGAAACCATCTGGTCCAGGAGTTTTGTTCTTAGTATGTTTTTGATTACCAATTCAATTTCTTTGCTGGTAATTGATCTATTCAGATTTTCTGTTTCTTCCTGGGTCAGCCTTGGAAAGTTGTATTTTTCTCGAAAGTTGTCCATTTCTTCTAGGTTATCTAGTTTGTTACCATATAATTTTTCATAGTATTCTCTCCTAATTCTTTGTATTTCTGTGGTGTCTGTAGTGATTTTTCCTTTCTCATTTCTGATTCTGTTTATGTGTGTAGACTCTCTTTTTTTCTTGATAAGTCTGGTTAAGGGTTTATCTATATTGTTTATTTTCTAGAAGAACCAGCTCTGGCTTTCATTGATTCTATTGTTTTATACTTCTCAATTTTATTTATTTCTGCTCTAATCTTTATTATGTCCCTCCTTTTACTGACTTTGGGACCAATTTATTCATCTTTTTTTAGCTTCATTAATTGTGAGTTTAGACTGCTCATATGGGATTGTTCTTCTCTCCTGAGGTAGGCCTGTATTGCAGTATACTTCCCTCTTAACATGGCCTTTGCTGTGCCCCACAGATTTTGTGTTGAGTTGTTGTCATTTGTCTCCATATATTTCTTGATTTCTGTTTTTATTTGGTCATTGATCCACTGATTATTTAGGAGAATGTTGTTAAGCCTCCATGTGTTTGTGGGCTTTTCTGTTTTCTTTGCATAATTTATTTCTAGTTTCATACCTTTGTGGTCTAAGAAGCTGGTTGGCACAATTTCAATCCTTTTTGAATTTACTTACGCTCTTTTTGTGGCCTAGTATATGATCTATTCTTGAAATGTTCCATATGCACTTGAGAAGAATGTGTATCCTGTTGCTTTTGGATGCAGTGTTCTGTAGATGTCCATTAGGTCCATTTGTTCTAATACACTGTTCAGTGCCTCTGTCTCCTTACTTATTTTCTGTCTGGTTGATCTGTCCTTTGGAGTGAGTGGTGTGTTGAAGTCTCCTAAAACGAATACATTGCATCCTATTTTCCCCTTTAATTCTGTTAGTATTTGTTTCACATATGTAGGTGCTCCTGTGTTGGGTGCATACATATTTATAATGGTTATATCCTCTTGTTGGACTAACCCCTTTATCATTATGTAATGTCCTTCTTTGTGTCTTGTGACTTTCTTTGTTTTGAAGTCTATTTTGTCTGATACAAGGACTGCAACTCCTGCTTTTTTCTCCCTAGTAGTTGCATGAAATATCTTTTTCCATCCCTTCACTTTTAGTTTGTGTATGTTTTTGGGTTTGAAGTGAGTCTCTTGTAGGCAGCATAAAGACTGGTCTTGCTTTTTTATCCATTCTATTACTCTGTGTCTTTTGATTGGTGCATTCAGTCCATTTACATTTAGGGTGATTATTGATAGCTATGTACTTATTGCCATTGCAGGCTTTAGATTCATGGTTACCAAAGTTTTAAGGGTAACTTCCTTACTATCAGTCTAACTCAACTCACTTAGTATGCTATTATAAACACAGTCTAAAGGTTCTTTTGTTTTTCCATTTCTTCTTCCTTCATTCTCTATATTTTAGGTATTGATTTGATTTTGTATTTGCTTAGTAATTAATTGGTCTACTTTCTTTACTGTGGTTTTATTTCTCTGGTGACAGCTATTTAGCCTTAGGAATACTTCCATCTACAGCAGTGCCTCCAAAAATACACTGTAGAGATGGTTTGTGGGATGGAAACTCTCTCAGCTTTTGCTTATCTGGAAATTGTTTAATCCCTCCTTCAAATTTAAGTGATAATCTTGCTGGACAGAGTATTCTTGGTTCAAGGCCCTGCTGCTTCATTGCATTAAATATATCATGCCACTCCCTCTGGCCTGTAAGGTTTCTGTTGAGATGTTTGATGATAGCCTGATGATTTTTCTCTCTCTGGCTGCTTTTAATACTCTGTCCTTATCCTTGATCTTTTTTATTTGTTATTATATGTCTTTGTATTGTCTTCTTTGGGTCCCTTGTGTTGAGAGATCTTTGTACCTCCATGGCCTGAGAGATAATCTCCTTTCCCAGACTGGGGAAGTTTTCAGCAATTACCTCCTCATAGATACTTTCTATCCCTTTTTCTCTCTCTTCTTCTTCTGGTTCCCCTATAATGAGAATATTGTTCTGTTTGGATTGGTCACACAGTGATCTCAATATTTTTCATTCCTAGAGATCCTTTTTTCTCTCTGTGCCTCAGCTTCTTTGTAGTCCTATTCTCTAATTTCTATTTCATTTACCATCTTCTCTACTTCATCTAATCTACTTTTAAATCCCTCCGTTGTGTTTTCTTTTGGATTCTGTACTTCTCAAAATTTCCATCCCTTTCTTGAATTCCTCCCTGAGTTCTTGAATATTTTTCTGTAGGTCTGTGAGCATGTTTGATTTTTATTTTGTCATCTCTTTCAGGAAGATTGATGAGTTCAGTTTCACTTGGCCCTCTTTCTGATGTTTGTGGGATTTTGGTTTGAACCAAGTTCTTTTGATATTTCATATTTGTAGGTGGGACGCTCTAGTGACCAGAAGCTATAATCTCTGGAGCTGCTCAGTCCTTGAATGATGGTGGGGGTCACAGGGGAGCAGTGCTGGTGCCTGTTGGGAAGAAAAAGCTCTTTCCTGCTTCCTGGCTCCAATGCCTGTCTTCACTGTTAGGGCCAGTTGGCCAAATGCACAGGAAGAAGCCTCTATATTTTGCACTTGTAGTTGCCATAGGCCGACCACCTCTGGATGGGCTGGCACAAAGGCAGGGGCAGCTGATTTGCGAGCTAGAGCCAGCTGGGAGGAGGGAGCAGCAGGCTATGTACAGTGGTGGGGAGGCATTATAGCTGCATTGCCAGCCAGGGGGATGGAGTGCCTGAAGTTCCTTGAAGTTTCCAACCTGCTGGGCAGAATGTGTCCTGATAATTTTGTCCACCTGTCCTTTCTCCTGAGCAGCAAGCTCTGTGCAACCCTTGCCCCCTTTGGCAGCCCTCTGTTAAGAAGTCCTTTGTTTTGTCCCAGAGTGGCCAGTTGTTTTCCACCGGTATCTGGAGTCTCAGTCTCTCTGAGTATTCCACCTGTCTGAGCTTTCCAACCTCAGTAATTTGCAGAGCACCATGTAATGTAGGTTCATGCTCCCAGAGCAGATCTCCGGGGCTGGGTGTTCAGCAGTCCTAGGCCTCCACCATCTCCCCACTCCATTTCTCTTCCTCCTGACAGTGAGGTGGGATGGGGTAAGGGCTTGGATCCCTCCAGGTCATGGCTTTGGTACTTTACCTTTTTCCTTGAGGTATGCTATTTTCCCCAGGTGTAGGCAGTCTGCCACAACCTTCTTTCCTGTTGCTCTTTCAGGATTAGTTGTATTCGCTATGTTTTCATATTATATGTGGTTTGGGAGAAGGTTTCTGTCTCACCTCTCATGACACCATCTTTAAGTCTCCACAATAAAGTATTTTTAAATAAAGGTATGTACACTGCTTTTTAGACAGAATGCTATTGCACACTTAATAGATTATAGTATAGTGCAAACATAATTTTTATATGCATTGGAAAACCATAAAATCCATTTGACTCACTTTATTGCAATGTTCACTTTATTTCAATGGTCTGGAACTGAACTCCCAATATCTCTAATGTTTGCCTGTATTTGCAGAAAGGAGTATTTAAATACCCATTTGTGAAATCATACAACAGTAGAAGTTTTTTAATCAAATAATACATAGATATGTGTTACCTATGTCTACACTGGAATAATTTTTTCCCTTTAGAGATGCTGTGCCGAAATATTTTCAGGAAATAGCTGTTACTTTATCTTATCTCACTTTAGTAATGGTTTAAAATTGTTTTAAAAGTCCTTTAATTACAGCATAATTTGAATAGGATATAGAATTTTTAATCTTCTAATTTAAGTGGAGGGAGTATATAAAAAAAAAGCCAACAGTATGCCATTTCATTAATTCTTAATAAACTGTTTAGTTTTAAAAAATAAGCCTAATTATAATTGTTTTGTGGTATGAAATAGAAATGGTAGTTATTAAGAAGTAGATGATTGGGTCTGGGACAACCCTCTGTTGCTTAGATCATTCCAATGATGCCATTTCTTTGAGCACAGGAGAAGAAAGAGTGGCTCCCAGTTTCTTTAATCTGTATGACTGAAGACACATGGCTTATGGAATATTCACCTTAGAGATGAATGTGACCTTAGAGATAAGGCTGCCTGCCTTGTCCCCATCCTGTCCCAGTCAAAAGCCTTCTATGCTTAGACTTCACACAACTGTAATTACGTAGCCATTTTGAGAATTACACTAGTTTAATGGCTGCCTTCCTCACTGGATGTAAGTTCTATGAAGGCATGGACACTGTCTCCATCGGTCAGTGAGGGGTGCCTACAGTAAACACTGTATCTATTAAAGTGCCATTAAAATGAAAAGATCAACAATATATGTCATCTGTAGAAGTGGGCTTCAATTTTTACAGTATTATTTTATAAATGTTCTCATTGAACATTTCATTAAGGGATCTCAGTCCTCAAAGGTGGTTACAAACGTTCATTAACCGCTGTAATTCATCTTGTTATGCTACTGATGGCTTAGAACAGTGATTGTAAGGCTGGAGTAAAGCTCGCCAGTCTATCTTCAAATCTCCTATCACAAAATTGCTCTATCTCTTTACAAGAGATGTGTGTAGGGGGAGAGAAAGACAACACAAAAGTCAGTACATGTCAAAGTGCCTCATATTTTCTGTCCATTCTACAGTGAGCAGTACAAAATAGAAGCTGGCTGTTTTGAAGGATGTGTTTGTGTTTTCTCTAGTACCATGCTCATAAATGATTACATTTTGGAAGAAGGGAGACTTACCATGGGGCCTGGTGGGCCATGGGGACCTGGTGGGCCTGGTGGGCCTATGATCTGTATGTCCAAAAAATAAACACAGATTTGGTTACTTCCTTTACATAAGGCAGTTTGGCTTGAATGCTGTGCTGGTGTTGTGCTAAGGCTATTAATAGCTGAAGAAGAAGGATACTGGAAGAAGTGAAGCATTTGATTCTATAGGTTTAGAAATTTCTTCATGAGAACAAAGAAGTTTTAAAAAATACAGTTGTTCTACAAAAGCCAGAATAAATAAAAATACATTAAAGGAAAAGGAAACAACTAATTACCAAGAAATGCTATAATGCCACCATCATTATTAAATTTCTAAATATTTCACTAAGCAACAACAGGGCTCTAGAGAGAAAGAGAACATGTTCCGTATTCACAATACAGCTCTATCCATGGGTGTTTTGGGAGAGCCACTGATTTTTCACCTCAGGATTAGACAGTCCTCTGAAAAACTGCTTGGGACTCAGACCTTGGAGACACTTTGTCTCTCACTGTACAAGGCCCACAGGTATTTCTGCTATCGGACAAACTGAAAGGTGCACTGTCTTTCCACTGTTGATGAGCCACCTGGCACAGGTGACCTAGGTAATTCATAGGCCTCTTTCAGAGTTCTTGGGGAAGAATGGATGTTCAGCCACCATGGACTTACGGAAGGTCCCTGAGGACCTGGCAATCCAGAGTCTCCTTTTTCTCCTTTCATCCCATTGGCACCCTGCAAATGACCGTAAGACAGCTGAGCTGTAAAGTTATTTCCAAAGTGTAAGAAATAACTGAATTTCTTCCCCAAACCCAATATCCTCTTGAAACTTTCATAATATCATGCCCGTGATATACAAAAGAAGGTTTAGCCCCAAACATTAAGCTTCCCCAAATCCCTAGCATGGTCGTGATATGTGAAATAAAGATAAAGTAAATAAAATACTAGGTTAGGCTTGATGGGTTAAACTGATACATTATTAAATACCTTAGATTGTTAATGTTCTTTTTTTCTTTTTAACAGTGGTGCTCTCTTTAAGTAGCAAAGATCAGTCTTTTAACTTCAGTTTTCACTGACATTTATTTACACACTTCTTTTAAAATAGATCTAGGGCAGTGAAATTTTCTGCCTTTTTCCTACATTTTTCTACATTTCTCCCTCCAAATTCTCAGTAAAAATTATGAGGGAAAAACCATAAAACACCATCCCATAATGTCATACACACAAATAAACACTTTCCAGAATAACTTGTTTTTTAATTGTTTTATATTGTTTATTTTTTTATTATGGTTCATTTAAAAATGATCAGTTACCACTATCTAATACATACTAAAATAAATCAATTATATTTATTTACTGTTTTCTAGTGAAAACAATTCAGGAAAACATCAAAATTTACTTTATGATTTATTTGATTAGACGGTTTAAAATTTGTTTTAGTGCTCTAGTTGGAGTAATTAACCAATAATACCTCAAATCCTTAGAAATAAAAATATGAACCACTAGATAAGACTACAGCTAATAATATAGCTGTTCTAACTATGTAATTTTTCTTAATATGAACACATCAAAAAAAAGTATAAACATACCGGTAACCCAGGAAGTCCAATTCCTCCTTTTTCACCTGGCATACCTGGGTCCCCCGTATCTCCCTTTGAGCCTTTGAGTCCCTACAAATGATATGGTTTGCATGTAAGAATCTTACTGATCCTTGATAGTAACATCCTAGGGAAAACAGAACTCTAGATCAATTTTGTCAACACGCAGGTCCTATGCTGAGATGATTCTGATTTCCATTTTAAGGTACAGTTATTTCTTTTACATTAAATCAATACCATTTGAGTCAATACTGTTCTACATTGAGTCAATAGTACTTCTCCATGTAAAGGAAAGGATTAACTTCGGCAATTTAAGTATGAAAAATATGGCCCTATGTGTTGACGTCATCTCTTCTGATTTCATTATCTTTTCCCAGCAGTTGGTTCTGTATTACTAGTCCTGAGAACAATTTAATGGGTTTAATTCTCAACAGTACAATATATATTTTTTCACGAGGACTAGTTTTAACAAAGGATCTAATAAATTTCTCCCATCTCCACTCACTACACCCCTACTCTCCTTATAAGTAGGCAGAAGTTCCAGTCACCACCAATTTTCACTGGTCCAATATGCACACAGGGAAGTCATTTACTGCACACCAATGTCAATCAATCAATGCTTAGACATCTCTGTGAGGTATCAATTCCAAATGTTATTTTTATTCTTGTTTTACAGTGATCAAGTAGTTAAATGTGTATTTTAAAGGTAACAAAACTGAGTTTTGTGATACTAATACTGAAATTAATTTATATTGTTGAGCATTTTCATCCAAGGAACCTCACTGCAGCATCACCAGATGGGTCATTCTTCAGCAGAGGTGACCACGGTTATTAAAGTAGGGCCCCCCAGGCTACACAAACCTGTTCATCCTTTCTATACTAAGAATTACTTGAGGACAGGAACATGTCTTTTCTCATTACTTACACCTATTTCATTGCTCCTACTTCATGTTACCACTAGGTGGGTGAGAGGGCAGTTGCCTGAATGGGTAGATGGATCCTACTGGGTAATCAGACCCTGCTTGGTTTTAAGAATCTAGTGATGTGGAGAAGCAGGAGAGCCAACCCACTGGACTTAGTAGCGGAAGAAGACCTTTTAAAGCCTATAGAAAAAAATAGGGGTTATGTAGTATGTCATTATGCACGTCAACTTAATTATTTGTAATGAATAGTAGTGGGAAAAGTAAACAACCAGATTTTTAAATTCTTATGTGATCTCTGAATGGTAACAGCAAGTCATCTTAGTCTTTGGTAGACTGATAAGGAATATTAAGACAAAATTAGAGCATTATATAGCTTGTGTGTTTCTGCAAAGAAAACCAACATCTAACTTAAAGCCAATTGCTTTTTAGAGTTAATGTGGTCTCTAGAACAGATGGTGAAAAAAAAAGAGGACATCATACATATATCAACACTCATGCCTTTTTGGCTTCAAACTTATAGTAAAAGTAGTGATCAATAATGCTTTACATGACAATATATATGTTTGAAAATTACCTGCTCTCCATCAGCTCCTGGAATTCCTGGAGATCCTGGCTCTCCCTGTTAAGAGAGAAAGTGATGGCTTGCCTCCATTTATCATTGGTAGCATACTACACGAAATAAAAGTGATACCAGCTGGGAACAGTACAATTTGACTTTTGGTAAATGCATCATAGCCCAAGAACACTCTATTATTCATGCCACATGTCTAAACTACATGAAATCACAATTTCTTGAAGATTATATACACCACTACTTATATGTAGCTAAGATCTAGAGTCTTCACTTTCTTCCCTGTGTAAGATGCGGGCTAAAAGTAAAAATTGGAGAAAGAAAATGGATAGAGATCATTTGAGGGCTGACTGTATCTTATAACAACAACCTATATGTCTCAGGTAAATTTTTTTCTTCTTAAAAAATCTCTATGATTTCTCTGCTTTTCCAATTTAAGGACAAAGTAAAATCATGACAGCTAGCTTAGGAAAGAACAAAATGCAAAGCCCCCTAAGTTTACAATATCTTAACTGGCACCATTTGAACAGTGAATTGACTGTTGTGCTATTTCCAGATCAGCTTCACTGAAGGATGTAATAAATCAGATACTATCTTAATCCACATGAAATTACTTTTAGATCAATTCAATTTCCTATACTATGTCTGGAATGCACTAAAATTTACTATTGATATTGTGAAGTACTAGAACCCTTGACAAGCCCTGAAGTTTTTTTAACTAGAGATTTTTTTCTTAACTAGAGATGTTCCATTAAAAACAAATTTTAATAGCGTGCTGGAGATTTTTCAAACAACAAATGTCAAGTTACCTTTCAGCTGGAAAGGTACTAATAAACTCTCTGAAAGGCAAGATATTATTTTATATCAGTGAATCGTTTATGTAGATCCCATTACAAATATTCCTGTTTCCCACACCATGGAAACTTTGTAAAATCAGCTCTTTGGAGTGTGAGTGGGCTGCCTCCCAGACAGTTTTTCAAGGGAGGTGACTTGAGGCTGTCTTCTTCTAAAAGGGTTTCCTTGGTGATGTCATAAACCACCATATTGAAATGGCTAGAGCTCCTTTCCCAGATAAAACCTTTAGGAGCTAACAGCAAAAGCATGAAATTTTAGATTCCCAACGTTTAAGGAAGATGTGACAAACTTTTTTTAAAAAAGGAAAAAAGAGAGGAGCAGCACAAAGAGCAGCAAAATTTATGTTGCCACAAACAGGTCTGCTGAGGTTGGATGCACCTGGCTAAGCACTAGTTTTATTCAGTCTGAATACCTGTCAGTGCTCTGGGTCCAATAATGATTATTTTGTTAAGCTTTTGCCTTCAAAATGGGACCTCTGAGTGTTTAAAAGAAAAACATAATTCATGAGTTATTAATTTATCCTTCACCCAGCAAGTGTAGTTTGTAAAGAGTTAGCTGATGTGTAGGAAGTCAAACAATCCTTGTTTGATAAAGGAAGGGGAGACGCTGACTGAATAGGTTCCCATTCAGCAGAGGCTGTGAGCTCCCAGGGAGAATGGGTTCCATGCTCGACTCCATGGGTGCATTTGTCGATGTGGTCAGAGGCACATCTTACACAATTCTCCCAACCTTCTCAAGAAGAGATCACGGGAAATGTTAAAAGATTATATCAATTAACCCAAGATCTTAATTACAAGATCACTGTGGGGCATGTGGGATGGAGTAGAGTGACAGCACAGTGGGAAGGGGACAGGAGCAAGAGGTAAGGGAGCATGACCAATCCCCATCCCGCACCCCACCTGCCTAGACTTCATTTGGCTACCTTCATCCAGTTTTTAGTTTCAGCAGGGAGTTATCTTTGACTGCCAAGACTGAGAGGGCCTTCTCATATGCACATCCATAGTATGGGCTTTTAATCAAAGCACTTACTTTATTTATTAATAATTGTGGCTTTACCTGGCTATCTCCCTCCCTAGGCTGTAAGCTCCTTGTTGAAGCCCCTTACTATGTCTTAGTATTCTTACTAGATATTCATCTTTACCACAGAGCAGAGGCTTCAAACATTACTTCCTGGACAATTGGATTAGTAAATGAATAGCAGTTGGATTAGAAAACAAGGGGAATATAGGTTTTGATGATATAGCCTTATTGGCTAGGTTCCTTTTTGTCTCGTTAGGTCAAAGATGCACACCTTTCTGGCTTCTGAAGGCCTTTGGGCTGTGAAGAAGAGGAAAGTCCTAGAAGCTTTGAGGTTTGCAGGAATACGGTACATGTGTAGCACTGGAGACAATTTGGGTTCAGCAGACTTAGTCAAGTGAGGAGAACCAGCAAGCAACTTAGTCTCTACACGGGGGAAAAGGAATCTGCCAATTTCCTCCTAGGTTGTCTAGTCCAGCTCACCAAGATACTAAAGACTAGGGATTCAGGCTGACTTGCTCACCAGGAATAAAGACTATGTCTGACTGGGGCACCTGTTACGTCACTTAGTGGCCAGAATGTGGTGGAGGAATAGGAAGTTAAAAGCCCCAAATCTTATATTAATGTTATACATTAAATCTGTTTGAAATTAGGGTCTATGTTCTAAATATATCTCAAATAGGCAAGGACCTGAGTAACATTTTACTTTATACTCCTTTTTATAATAGAAAAGTAACTGTTTCTATATGGTAGTGTTCTAAGTATTTGAAAGAGTTCAAAGCTGATTGTGTGTGTGCATGTGTGAGACAGACTTAGCAAATAAACTATCTTAAGAGGCATAACCTAAGATAAATTTTGAAACTACTTAAATCTCCCACAAAAACCCAGTGACAAAAATCATATTTCAGCATGTGTAGCTCAGCTCTCAAAAGGCAGAGTCACTGGCCAAGTGTTAATTGATCTAATGTGGTTGAATAAGTAAGCTTTTTTTTCAGAAAGGTAGAAAGCAAAACCACCAGTAAATCTGATATATAATCAAGGAATTCTAGATTTCTGTTGGTCATAGTTGGTATGTTTTATTAAGCTCCTTAGATAAGACTTACATGGCAGAATGAGTACATACAATTACTGCATGTGTTAGAAAAAAGTGACTCAAAAACAATTCCTCAAATTGTCATTTATGAAAGCATCATGCTAAAGTGTGCCTTGTTCTTACAAAAGAATTGGAGTGATGGATCTGTTGAAATATTTTTCTTTTTTTATATACCACATTTAGTATTTCTTTAGGCTTATAATTTCCATAAAACTTGTTTTCCCTTGTTTAATGCTCTCTGTTTTACTTAATGTCCTCCTCTAAATGTAATGCCATTTCTATTTCCCTCCTTTCCTAATTTTCTTTTTTTCTGATCCCTCTTCCTCAGTTTCCATTCTTGGCTCTCTTAAGCAATGTTGTTTATCTTAGTTTCTACAGTATTTCATAAGAATGATCTTCAAAGATACAAATATTTAATATGGGATGCTCTGCACCATGTGGGGTAAATGGAAACAAGTAAAATAAAGAATAACCTTTGGCCCTTGCAGTCCTTGAGGTCCAGGTGGTCCAGGGGGACCCTAAGTCAAGAAAAGACAAAGTTTCAAAAAGTGGCAAGTGTAAGTATAAAAATTTATGCTTTAAATAGTAAGTATACTTCCCTTATTTCTATTGTAATCAAATATCCTCCAATATTGATTGGCAATGAGGACAAATTTCACCAGTTAAATAATTAGAAAAACTACCTACTTACATGCAAAACTATTAATACATTTAAGTTAAAATAATATTGAATATGCTTTTGAGTTGACTCACTAAGACAATGTATAATTGCTGCCATGTCCCACATTCATCTTCTTGGGATGAATTAGCTTAGCGGTATTACCTGTGTTTCTAGACACCCCCCACCTCCACCTGCCACACACACAAAGGGTTTGATTCCCCAAATACTAAAGAACAAAGTTATATTATTTATTAGATAAGGCCAAAGATTTTAGGAAAAATAGCAACTTTTTCCTTGACTTTTTCACTAAACAGACAAAGAGACTAAACTGGGGCAACCTGTTTTAAAAGGTTATTTATACAATGAAACATTAAATACCAGAAAAAACAACTGCTACATTAGTACCATTATGACTGGCATGCATGACACCAGATATAAAGTCACAAACCACAGAAATCATGCAGTAGCAGTTACCGTGACAGTTAAGGTGGTAATCCTCTGTTGGGAAAAATGTATTGACAAAAACAAGAGTTACCTATTTTGTGTGTGCCAAAGTCCAATAATATACTTCTGAAATAATTAACTTTTTAATTATGTATGGGCAAGTTTATAAGATGACTTATAAGGAATTAGTAAGATACTGAGGACATACTATCCTACCGCCACATGAATACAGTATAGTTGTAGAGATTTTTGGGGAGGGGTCAGAACTCTATTCACCACCTAATGAAGATCTTTTTTAGAATTATATTTAAAAAGACAACATGGATCAGGAAAAATGAAAATGTTTAAAATTTAATCCACTTGATTAAAAAATTTATACATGAAACTAGTATACACTAGGGGTTTGTCAAAGTGTAACTGAACTGAGAAACTGCTATTCACAGGAACTCTGTTCTAGAATACTTCAGTTAGAGAAAATGAAAATATCCAACTTTATAAGTAATGGGTTTTTTTCTCTTTTAGTCTGTAGCTTTTATTTTTGGTACCAGGACTAAAGATGGGAGTTGACATGGAATTCATCTAGTTTATTAAAGTGCTGGAGTACTGTAACAAAATAAATTCCTCAAAGTATGAATCTCCAAAGCACTTGATCTCTAATTCATGAATCATTTTGCTATTGACATTTTCTAGTCTAAATCTTGTGCCAAAAGTTCTATAAGGCCTATACCCACTTCATGTGATCACAGAGGTGAGAACATTTTCCATTTTCCATTATGATAAGTCTGGTCATAGAGAAACATTATCCAGTTATATGTAAACTTGTGAATATTGGTTTAACACTATCCCGTTGTTTTCTATCACTCTACCCAATTTCTGATTCAGGTTGGTGCTGTGTTTTTATTATCATTGTAAAAAATAATCTTAACATTATCTATCTCACATTAAACACTTGAGCCTCTAGTGACATGGTATCATCATTCCTTAGAAAACAATGTCTTTAAGCATGTATACAAATGGTTAAAGTTTTCTACAATAAAATCAGATGTGGTCATTAAAGCTTCACTGAAAACATAGTAGGAAAAACAACAACTGGTGCTTCTAACACAAAATGCAAAATGACAACAAACTGGGGCAAGGTTAAAAAAATAAATCAATGCCCAGGTTTTCATACCTGTGTAACATAAGGGACCACTTACTTTATTCTTAAGGGGTTCACTGAGATCAAGAGTTGGATTTATGGTTATGAGAAAGCTATACTTTGCTCCTACAGGTAGATGAGTCATTTAAAAAAGGCTGTTAGAATATTATAGAGTAGAAACAATTTATCATTCTCTTCCAATTATGTATTAAATTTTTAACTACAAAGCAGAATCATAAAACCTTAGAAAGTGAAGGGAGTTTACAATTTTAACTCTTTGAGGTTTTCCAACATATGCCATATGGGAGACCATTTGCCACCAGAACATAAAACTAATTTTTAGTTTTTGCAATTTAAGGGTAACAACATGTTTCATAATGCGTTGTATAATAAAAGAGTATAATTAATGGTAACTGAACTATCTAACAAAGGGGTTTAAATGATCTTGTTAAATAACTGTATTTGTGATACCCAAGAATTGTGCAGGGTAGGTTCCATCCAGTTAGTAAAAGAACAGATGGCAGTAAACTAAGCTGCCTTCTTAACAACCCAGCTTTAACCACTCTCCAGAAACACCAGCATGCAGACGCACAAAGATGTCTGAAAGTTGGCTCACTTTGGATTGTTTGAATCTGGCTCCTCTGCGTTAAACCTGTATGCACTCAGCAGTGCTCTCTCTTAAACTCCAGTAATTGAAAATCAGAATTTTTGGTAGTGATGGAGTAAGACACGTCATTCTCCAGTTAGGCATGATGTAACCTGGGAGGCATGAGCTAGAGCAATGGGAAATTGGCTGAAGCCTAGCAGGCTGTTTTGCGATTTATTCCCCAAGATGCTTATGTGAATCTCTTTAGATTTGAAGGTTATTTTCTTTCATTTCTCATAATGATGCAAGCAGGGAATCATTCATGATTTACACTAGAGAATAGATTTAGTCTAGATAGTGTTGAGAGTTTTTAAAACCTTGAGTTAGGAAATGGAGAGGTTTCACTGCTAATTGTGGAAACTTAACCGAATTAAAGAAAAATAAAAGGCTAATGGCAAATGTCCATGTGAGTAACAATTTTTAATAGAGGCAATAGCATAATTTTATATTTCTAAGGTAAAACACCTCTATTATCTAATTAACTTAGACTTTTGTTTACAGATTTTTTTTAGAGGAAGCAATAATGAAGTGAAATTGGTAAACCTGTGAGTGTCTATCATTGGCTAGAGAATTGGTAAACCTGTGAGTGTCTATCATTGGCTAGAGAATTAGAAGAATTAAGTGTTTACCACTTATTCTTAATCTAATGGCTACTTAGTTTGATTGATTCTACTAGGGACCCCCTAATCCACTGAAGTACTACATTAGGAAAACAAATAAATAGTTTTGAAGTGAAAAAAAATAACTATAAACTATTCACAACATACAGCTGCCCTTACAACTCCATAAGAGTAACAACTTTTTAGGTTGAAATACAAACATGAACTAGTTGATTATGATAGATATTGACTGGTTTACAGTCATATAGAACTTGACTTGAAAAAAGAAACTAAGCACATACATCCTTTTACATCAAGCTGTAGATGTCAAATTAAAAAAATACATTCAATGTATTTAGGCATAACAGCAGAGTGTTTAGGAGCACCTGAAAAAACAGCCCTAAGTATGATATTAGATTTTATGGACTAAAAAAATATATTTCAAAAATATCCTCATTTTACAGAGAAGATCAATGAAATATTGATACATTAATTGATTTCACCAAAATGACCAGTTAGTTAATAACAGAGGGGAGGTAAACAGATTTCAGTTTTAGGCTAACAGTAGCTTGCTTCATGTTAGGTTATTCATGCAAAGGATGCTCTAAAAGGCTTTTTTTATAATTTTTGCAGAAAATGGCCATGGCCCGTAATATTGGAACATTTCTTGGAAGATAAGAGAATGGATACCTCTTAAAAGTGACAGTAAGAATAAGAGCACCATTGAAAGCAGTTCAAGGGCAATTTATAACATTGCTAGTAAATTAAGTTTAATTAAATGTCCTCGTATTTTATAAGTGAGAACTTTAACATGGTACATACACCAAAACTTGGTACATACACCAAAACTTCTTGTTCTCTTTCTCTCTTTTCTTCCACACACAGTTATCAATTTCTGGGGAAAAGGGAACGATTCAGAAAACTCATTCTAGAACTTGACAATAGCCTAGAAGCTACTGCTTGTGTCTGACCCACTTGCACTGAGGAGCACTAATTCAGGCTGTGGACTGGACATACTGCCCAATCAACCTCTCTCCCAGCAGTGAGCATCCCTCCCCGCATTTTACCAGAAGAAAGAGAATTGAGTAGAACAGAAAAACAAGCTAAGCTGAAGGCACATTCTATAAAACTAATGAATGTGTTACTAGTTAAAAATGGAAGGTGTGCAAAGGACCCATAGAAGTGTAGACCTACCATAATTAGATAATATTAGTGAAATCATGAGGATGGGAAAGAAATTCAAACAAATCCAAAATAGCAAATATTTCAAACAACGACTTTGGCTTTCAGGCAAAGAATAAACTGTACATATGAGCTGACTATACTCACTCATTCAACCAGTAACAGTTTATTAGTATTTCCATACTCAGACCTGGTGCAAGACACACTGGGGGAAATGGAATAAGCCTAAGACACATTTTCTGTCACCAAGAAATTTGCAATCTGGTAAAAGGCAAAACTAAAATAAGTTACATGATTTGAGAACAATTAAATATGAAACTGTTGGGCCTTGGCTGCTAATGTGTAAAAGGATTAGAAGGAAGAACCCATCTGGGTGGCAGCCGGGGATTGTTGGATAGGATTTAAGGGGATGAAAGGGAGGGGAAGAATGGGATGAACTGGCAAAGAGAGGGGATTTTTATAGATATGATCATGTGACTACTCTAGGGGAAAATGTGTGTTGTGGAGAAATAGAAAAATCTGTACAGGAAAGGCAAGATTATGGAGAATTAAAAGTCAGATGGAGCAGTTAGGGCTTGATAGAGTAGGCAAGGAGGTCATTTAGGTTTCTGAGAAGACTGAAGCCATCAAAACAGTAATAGCTGAGCTTTGGAATGATATAAAAGATGGATTAGAAGGACAAGGAAGCACTTGGGGCAGAAGAATTGGTCAAGGGCTTGTTGCAGTGCTAAACCTGAAATGAAGAAGATGTTGGGAATGGAGAGAATGGGGCAACCTCAGAAGCCACTTTGAAAAAGGAAATAGCAGCATCTGGTGAGATATAATGGAAGAAGAATGAAGAATAATTTTTAAATTACTCTAAAGTTTCTATCTCAAGAAATTCAAAGACTTATGGTGTCACTAACAGAAACTGGTTAGCTAAAGAAGGGAATCATTTGGTAAGTGGAAAAGGTAACCAGTAAGACTGTGCATCCTGTTGGCAGCTGTTGAAGCAATGGTGTATCCGTTGGAAATGTTCTCAGACAGCTGGAGATATGTTTAAGTGAGTCCTGAGATAAAAGATTTGGAAGCCAGAACATGAAGAATACAGAGGGAATGGCTGAACCAAGAAAAGATCAGAGACTTGAGGATACCAAAAATCAGAAGATGGACAGAGAAATTGGAAACATTAAAACAGAATGGCTCCATCAAAGAAGAAAACTGGAAGAAATGAGAGTAGAAGGTAAGAGAAACCAGAAAGAAAGAGTTACAAAAGGAAGGTGGTTTAGTATAAAAGTCACAGCAAAGTCAAGGGTAATGAGTACAATGGACTCAACCTGGAGGTTGTTGCTGACCTTCGTAAGAGCAGTTACAACAGAGTGATGACACAGGCTAGAATGCAGGCATCTAAGCATGAAAAGGATGAATAGGAAACAAAGGTGATGGACAAGTCATATACTCAGTGGGTTTTTACTTAATGGAAGAAAAAGGATTAAATGGTAGCAGTCATAAAAAATAACTATAGAGAATTTATTATGTGCTAAGCACCAGGCACCATTCTAAGTGTATAATATTTATTTAGCCTCACAACAACCCTATAAGGCAGTTACTACTACTATCCCCATTTAACAGATGAGAAAACTGAGACAGAGAAGTTAAATGACTGCATTAGGTCATGCACTTAGTAAGCAAGAGATATGAACCCAGGCAGCTCTAATTCCAGAACCTTAGAACTCTGAACAAGCAAGAAGACAAAGATGGACAAATATTGACTAACACAAGGTTTAACCTGATGAGACTAAAGCATATCTGAAGGCAGAAGGGAAAGAAAAGGGAAGACTGAAAAATGCTAGGAAATAAAGAGGATAAACAGGGGTAGAGAGAAGGGGATGGGCCCAGGAGATCAGGGAGAAGGTGCACTTTGAGCTGTGGAAACCTCTGAGATCCAAACCAGGTAACATTTCCACACATTACCTGGGTGCCCATCAGTATCAGTGTCTGGGTCAGGGCGGGGAGCAGTCACTTGCCTGCAAGGCTTCGTGGAGGTTGCCATTGTAGTCTATGATCTCGGTGGCTCCTTGATCACCCTTTTGGCCAGGTGGGCCCTATGAAAAAACCACCCAAGGGAAAATCAGAAGGTTAGGCTAGGATGTAAAGGGGACTTGCAAAAACAGAAATAACAACATGCGTCTCTCTCTGACCATCAATTTCCTAGTAATGCCTACCTGCAGTTTTAGAATAAATAATCATGTTCAAATTTTGTTCTTGTTTCAAAGAAGACAAACCATTTCTAACTTCCTGTCTGTGCAGGTTAAAGATATGAAATGTGATAAAACAGAGACATGATTCAATCTCTGAAACTGTTCTCTGAAAATTATAAAATATAGGCTCATCTGCTTTGACTTGCAAAATTTGTAGGCTTTACCCATATTTATTAAAGCAACCCTTGACTTTCTTCTACTCATCTACACCTCACAGATTACTCCTCATTCTTTAAGAAGATAGAACACAGTTTTGTAGGAAATGCTTGATTTGCCAAAAGAAATAGAATTTCATTAAAATTAAACCAAATAGGGAACAAATATTTTTAAGATCTTTAATATTTTAAGATATTTAAATATTTCTACCCTATTCACTTTGCCACTGAATTCCCATTAGTTATGAAGGTAGTCAACTAATACCCTGCCTGAGTTTTAAAAAGGCTTTTAAAATATATGGGCTATTGCTTTTTAAATAATTGAATTAATTGAAAAATGGAAAGTTTTATTAGCTGGATGGCTATGGGCTTGCTTATTTAGCAGAAAGAGAAGTAGAAAGAGTTTGTTAGACCTTCCTGTGGAACTTATTCTAGATGTTGAACCTACACATTCATTGATCCTGGTGACCAAAATAAAAAATAAAAGGAAAGAGGGGGTTAGCAGGAGTAATTACGGTAGTCTACCTCCAGGGCTATTATTGGGTATTTTTAGTTCAGTGTCTTATGAAAAACCACATGGATACATATGTCAAATCTGGGCTTGCAGGGACCAAAAGCTTAGATGAGATTCACACTCACCCTCGGTCCCAGGGCTCCAGAGTCCCCTTTGTCTCCACGATCACCCTTTCCCCCATAAAAAGGGAAAAACACATAATTAGCAGTGGCACCAACATATCTCAAATCTAGGGATATATTTAATATAATATAATGACACCTTTAAAGTGAACTACTGAAGTGAAAAATAACAACTAGAAAAACAATAACAACTGACATGGCAAAATGCATCTTTAAGTTGCATCTTTGAGCGAATTAAAATTCTCCTTTCGGGTGGCAGAGTATCTTGGAACAACTATATATATGGTAACTCTCTCACTAGAAATCTTCCAAAGCAAAGTGGTTTCTATAACACCCAGAGTAAGCTTTCATATCTCAGGCTGAGCCATATTTGCCTTTATGTGAAGAGATCTGGGGCAAGGGGAACTAGAGCCAACTTATTGGGTTGTCTGTTCTCTGAGAAGTGCAGATAACCAGGAGAGCTCATTCTGGAGAGATTTAGGAGGGAAAGTTAATCAGCTAGCCTCCTTCTGATGATAGGATCTAAGGAAAAGGTTTTCTAGAGGTATAGGCCTTATAACACTGGGAGTGGACAGGAGCTGGCTGGAACAGGTTGGCAGGGCTGCAGGTCACGGGCAGGGCAAACCTGCCTCTGTCTTTTTTTTCAGTGCAACATGAAAACTCTCTAAATTTCCATTTATGATGTTATTACCCCACCTGGAGAGGCTCCAGGAACAGTCCAAGCATCAAACTCCACATGCATCACTCTGAGGCAACACTAAAAATTCTCAGAAGTCTAAATAGAACCTTTGAATGCGAGTAGATTTGAAGGTTCTTTAAAATAGCCTTAAATTTACTGATCCTCTTCCTAAGTGGAATTCTAAGCATTTTTAATGTCTTTCTACATATTCCTATAAACTGGGTAAGGACCAATGAAGATAGCAGGAAAAGGGATTAAAGTTTTTCTGGTGGTTTCCTCATTTTGCACCCATTATGCCATGTTATTAGCTAACAGCATCTTAAATAACATGCCTTCTGTCAACAGTGTACAGATAATTGTGGATACTGTAAAGAACATGATAAAGGAAAGAATTTCACTTGGTGGTAAAATTTTAAATGCAATGAAGGGAGTGAACTAACTTAAAAGCAAAGCATAATTTGAACATTTATTACAAGGATAGCCAGGAAATAAAAAAATTAAATTATACCATAAATAATTTAAATTAAGTAAAACACTGAATTTTTTCCAAAGCGGCTATTATGAAACAGAAATACAACTTCTCTTAAAGAATAGTCTGAAAGCACACGAACACATAAAAACAAACAAGACAAAACTGACTAATTGTTTTATGATATCATCATAAGAATGAATTTATTGCTATCTCAGTGTGTGAAAGAATTTAATCTCAAACACGATTCTCTGAGGAAGAGGCCAAAGGCACAGCTCTTGAAGTCCTCATGTTACATTAAAATGGTTACCCGTTTACTAACCTTTGACCCCTTTGGGCCTCTAGTTCCTGATTCACCTTGTTTCCCCTATTATAGGAGAATGTGAAGATGAAAAAGAGAAGATGACAGAGGAGATAAGAACAGAAAAAAGTAATTAGCAGTGACTCAGAATAATGAAGAAAAATGGAAAACACTTTATTTTAACTACCTCGATGTATGGTACTATATCATAGCTATTGTAACACTACATATAAGTACAGCTGACCCTTGAACGACATGGGGTTCAGGGGCACTGACCTCACATGGTCAAAAATCCATTTTTGATTCACCTAAAATTTAACTATAAATAGCCTACTGTTGACCAGAAGCCTTATCGATAACACAGACAGTCAATTAACACATATTGTTTATGTTATATATAGCTTACACTATATTCCTATGAACAAGTAGGCTAAAGAAAAGAAACTTATTTTAAATTGCTGCAAACCTCCAAGTAATTTTCCAATATATTTATTGAAAAAAATCCACATATAAGCAGACCTGTGCAGTTCAAACCCATGTTGTTCAAGGGTCTGCTGTGCTGTCATATCATTAGTCTATTCCCTGGTCTCTCTATGGTCCTACACTCCACTACAATTCTGAAGACTGCTCACCCATCAGTGAATGGGAAGAGTAGTGTGAATAAGTCTCATTAGTCTCAAAATTGTTTGCATGAATTTTTCATCAAAGAATAAATCATTTCCTGTGTCTCTTGGATAGGTTACTAAAATAAAGTGTTACCATATTAGTTTGCAGGAAATTTAAAAGAATAAAGATTGAAAGTCAAATAAATCTTTAGCTCTAATATCTTCAAGGTGTTGCACACCATCAAGTTACTGCAGAAATGAACACACCATGGATCAACATTTTCCTCAGTAAGTTTTAATATACACTGAGTGATAGTGTGTTAATATGAAGTATCTCCATCTTTACATTTGGATAAGTTATTAAATATGTTCGTGGAATAGCACAGAGTAAACTGGAAAGGTTGAGTTGTAAAATCCCCTTTGAGAAGAACTTATTGGTATGCATTTCAATAAACTATTTGTGATTTTGGCTGTTTTAATACCTGTTGAAGAAATTTGCTTTAATTTCATGTTCTAAAGCAAGTGGCACACATTTACAAACCACAGGATGTTATTTTCCAATGCAAGAATAACTGACCTTTGGTCCAGGGGTACCAGGCTCCCCTCGCTCCCCTCTTCCAGGAGGCCCTGCCTCCCCACGTTCACCCTGCCACAAATCAAAAAACAAATAAATGGCACAGCCCCTCCCCAGCCCTCAGGCTGGTCCTTGTAAACTGAGTTGAATAAAATCAAAGAAAGAAGAGAGTTACAATTTATTTATCATGTGCCCAGCACTGAATTAAATCTCAACACAGATTATCTCATTTAATAATCATAAAAATTATTCAATGCTTGTATTGTCACTCCCATTTTAAAGACAAGGAAATGGTTTGGTAAATGCCTGTCAGATATGTGTGTTGGTAGGGAGAATGACTTGATAAGGGCCATCATTATACTTTGAGGCAGGCATAGACATAGTTTTCATTCTGCCAGCACTTTTTAAGATCTACTGGGAAGAAGCAGGGTAAAGTGGTTAAGTGCCTGGCTTTGTAATCGGATATCCTGGATTTTAATCCTGGCTCTGTTATTTACCAGTTCTGTGTTCTGGAATGTTAGTTAAGTTCTGAAAGTCTGTTTCCTCTGTAAAATGGAGAAAATTATAGTACTGATGTTGTAACTTGTAAAGTACTCACAATAGAGCAAGATACATAGGTGTTACAGCTTTTTACTATATTCATAGCACTACAAACTATGAACATGGTCACTGTCCTCAAAGAACTAGTGATCTAGTTAAACAAGATCCACATGAACAAAATAATTAAGAATTATGGAGCAATGTAAGGCTATATGTGAGAGAAGATAAAGTCCCAAAGGGTTCTGAATGGTCCAGATCAATTTCCTGGAGGTGAAACTTGAGTCCCATCCTGAGGATGGATGGATAAGGTGATTTTATAATCACTGTTTACAATGGTGCTATTGGTGAGTGCAAGAACTGCACAAAACACTTTGCATGCAGTATCTTATTCAACCCTCAAGAAGAATGAGAAAGGTTAGTATCCATACTCTATGCATGAGGAAATTGGAGCTCAGAAAAATTGCCCCAAATCACAAAGCTTTTAAAATGGGAAAGCTGTAATTTAAAACTGATTGTGCTCAATCTTTAATTTTTTGCAAAAATATTTCTGTATGTAAATCTTTTGCATATTTCTGGTCATTTTTCTTAGGACAAATTCCTAGTTGGGGAATTGCTGGGTCAAAAGTATTAACATTTTAAAAGCTTGCCAAATGGCTCTCCAGGAAGGTATTGCTGTTTTAAACCCCCTGAACACAGAGCAACGTCTGGCTTCCTGCATGGTGGGTAGATTTCAATAATCAAAAAGTTTGGAATTCAGACTGGTGATAACATGTTTATGGATGAGAAAATGTGAGGATGGCACCCTGCTCACTGAAGGAACCAATCATCTTGGAAAGGAGAAGAAAATAGGACTGAACCCATGATGGGTGAGGTTGGGCTCTAAATTCCAAGATCTTTATCTGCATAATGCCCACTCTGGGAAGCCTTTGTAGTTTGCAGGGCAGGTGAAATAGATGAGGCAAGGATTAAAGACCACTAGTTGGTTTCTCAGCATGAACTTAGAAGAGTAGGTGGGAAAATGGAGAGGATGGGAAAAAAGCAAGGGACCTGACTGGACATAGGAGATGGAAAAGATGTTCCAGAAGGGATTCTTCTGGGGATTAGACACTGAAGGCTTCTGTTGGTATATGGAATTTTTATTTTTTAAAAAACAAAATGTACCATACTTGGTGCTTCTTTTAATATTTTACAGAAGAATTCTAAAATAGTAACTATATGCTTATTTTAGAGAAAAACAAAAACCTTAGAAAATCATTTGTCTGTAGCATATCACAGGAGTGGAGTCTTTACATGTTTACCTGGAATCATTTTTTTACCACAATGCCCCTAACTAGTTGCTTATCACTCTTTGGAGTCATATTGTTTATATTTTCTTCCTTCTCTCACACACTCTGGAATGTAAACTAGGAGAGTAGGGACTGTTTTTGTTGCATTTACTCTCCATTCTCAAATACTATAAAAATGTTTGACAAAAAAAAATGTTATATTAATGAAAAAACAGCATTGCTCAAAGCATTCTAAATTACTCATAATAAAACTCCATTTCCTTAGACTGACATAGGTCTCTCCCAGGCACTGATACAGAAAATGAGGAAACAGCAGCATATGAACAGATTTTTAGATGCTATTATCCACCTTCCTTCATTATGATCTCTCTTCATTGTGTTGGTGGTAAAATATGCAGTGTTAGTTTACTTTTTAAATCTGGATTTAGTGGTATACACCCCAACTGCCTACACAACTGGAAAAGGACTGGTGTTCAGCTGAGAGAGATTTTTAAAATAATCATGACTTCTCCATTATGATACCAAAGTCATGTCAGATAGGCAATTTAGCTGAAAATCAACTTCAAAAGATTGTCAATAAAATGAATTTCTTATCCACATCCTTTCTTGTGGAAATATAAAACAGGTAGAGTACATTCTGTGCTTTTACTGGGAGTTCAGAGTAGTATCTGTTATAACAGTATTTGGTCTATAACATCAGGCTGGATTCTTCATGAACAGTAATTAATGTTGATTTTATGACTTTACATCTGGATTTTTTTGAAACTGTGGAATAATTTAAAATAAATGAACTAAAATGATATTTAAGTATAAACTCCATTCTCTACTGCCTGTGTTTCTTCTATTTTCCCTTGGTTAGCAAACAAAATGACACAAACACTCAGAGATCTAAGTCATGGCTGGTTCTCTCCAGTACTGACCAGGTTTCCCATTTCTTTGTGCTTATCCATGAGGCTCCTTCTTTCGTTACCTGGCTCTGAGGCTGCAAGCTGAATAAACACAATGGTTCTTAAATGAACAGCGAATGCTCATTATTCCTTTGCTTTCTCTCTTTTTATTCCAGAAAGTACATTTCTTGTGTGAATCTGTTCAAGCTAAAACAGGCATTCCTCATATTTTGTTAATAAGCCTGACAGCTCATTATGTGAAAAAGAAATTGCTTGAGAAAACTGCAATTTTGCATAAATTCGACTGGGTTTCAGTCTGCCTTAGGCCACACATAGTTTCCATTTACTAGGATTACAGTTATTTTCTCTTGATCAGCGGAAATGAGGACCCCTCTGTCAGAACAGACCATGAACATATTTCTCTAGCTCTTGGAAATCATTCTGGCTTATTTCTGGTGAATGCAATACACATTGAGGCAAAGACTAGTATGGTTTAAAAATAAAAGAATGCAGTTTGATCTAATTTTGTCCCTTCTTTGATTCATGAGTCTGTCATGAGCAAAGTTCCATCCTCAGAGCTGTACCTTTTTATGTCTTACTGGGTAGATAAAAAGAGAACGATGGGCCTAACTGTACTTGTAGCAACACAATTTTTTATATGGTGGTATATAGATTTTGCTTTTAGGGCCCTCTCTAGGGTTGCCAGGTGAAGGATCATGAGATGGTTTTCATTACAGAACCTTTCTGCAGACGTTATTCAGGATGGAGCCTTTTGGGATGAGGCACTTAGGAATCTATATGACATCAGTTCTTGCCTTTGAAATCTAGGGAATGTTGGTAGAATAGCAATAAAAGCTTGATTTACAAGTATGTCCTAAAATCAGTGATAAGGAGCAGGAGTTAGTGAGGTCTCTCTCTCCTCTCAGAATCCCTCTACTTTTCCATATGGCCAGGAGACTAATAGCATCCTATCAATTTGGGGGACAACAGGAACAACTAATATATTCCACCACCCTGTTGTCTTACCCAAGGCTTTCTGGAATTAACTTCCTATTACTTACTTAACATGGCATTCCCAGTAGCAGTGTTGGTAATGGGTGACTAGTTGCTTTAGTTCTCTATGCAAAAATATCTGATCACCTAAATAATAAAGTCACTCCACCTCTTTTTCAACATAATGGATTAAAATTATATGAAAAAAATTTCAGAAAGAAAATAAAGGAAAATTGACTCTACTTACCTTTGTTCCTGGTAACCCTGGTAAGCCTGGTTCTCCTTGAGGACCAATGAAACCTGGTTCTCCCTTTAAAAAAGATGGGCATATGAGATTATTATTCATTAACAGTAATTAAGTAAAGTCGAACTGATTTCTCTCTACTGGAATTTTGCTCCTTTAATTATATACAACTTACTTGCTGAGATCCATTTACTGACTATAAAATTAATCAGATTTGGTTTTGATCAGTGAAAATACTTTGAACAAAACTTTAGAAGGTCAAGGAGATAAAGAAACCAGATAAATTCTTTATAATTTCCTTTCTCATCTTTTGTCCAGTGTTTCTTATCATTTATCAAATTAAAATCCATTTTGTTTGGGTGGGTGTGGGAGGTAGACTGGAAGACAGGCCTCGTTGATCCTGCCTCCTAGTATTCCTGCCTCTATACAGTTCCTCTGTTAGAGAGTAGACTGGATTTACTGACTCATATCTAACAAACAGATACGGCAGAAGTAGTGAGATATCACTTTTGAGACTAAGTCATTCAAAGACTATGGCCTCCATCTCAGGGGCTCTTTCCCATAATCTCTTACTTGGATTACTTGCTGTGGGGAAAGCAATCTGCCATGCTGTGAGCAATCCTATGGGGAGATGCTCATAGTGAGGTGTGAGGTCTGCCAACAGTGATAAATGTGAGCTTGGGGTGGAGGCTCCACCCCAGTAGAGCCTTCAGATGAGACCACAGACTTACTGACAGCTTGACTGAATCCTTATGGGAGACACTGAACCAAAGACACCTAGCTGAGCCATGCTCAAATTCCTAATTCTCCAAAACAGTCAGTCAATTGTTATTTTAAGCTACTCCAGTTGTGGCAGGCAGCATAAATAACTGATAAATAATGTGGCTAGGGAAGAGATTCAGGAATGTTCAGCATGAAAAGAAAAATACCTCTTCTTGCCATACCTCTGTAACTCTTCTCTACTTCTCCACTACCTGGAGGAAACCCAGTATGTGTAATAAAAAACATATCTGTTCTTATTCCTGGTTCTTGCATGGAGCTCCTAAAACCCTTGGAATTTCCTGAGTCATGAAAGTAACAGGAATGTCTTTTGTTATTCATAACAAGCCCCTTTCAAACATGTCATAGTTTATGTTAATGAGGTGACTCTTGGCAGGCCCAGACAGCCTGTGGATGGAGGGTGTGACAAGAAGGCTGGCCTTTCCTTTTTTCACCATCTCCAGAGATGGAACAGGGGCTGGAGATGAGTTCAATCACCAACGACCAATGATGTAGTCAACCATGCCTATGTAATGGAACCTCCAATTAAACCCCTCGACAGTGGAGACTAGAGAGCTTTAAATTGATGAACACATCCATGTGCTGGCAGGAGGGTGCACCCCAGCTCCAAGTGAACAGGGGCTCCTACACTCAAGACCCTTTTTTGACTTGACCCTATATACCTCTTTATTTGGCTATTTTTATATTTTATAATTAATTGTAACAGTAAGTATGGTATTTTCCTGTGTTCTGTGAGTAATTGTAGCAAATTATCAAACTTGAGTGGGGGTGGAAGTGGATGGTTGTGAGTACTCTTTAATTTGTAGCCAATTCAGACAGAAATGCAGGTAATGGGGGGATGAGAACTGGGGACTGGGGTCTGAAGCAAGGGCAGATTTGTGAGAGATGGAGCCCTGAGGAGTCTGAGGCTGTCCTCAAGTAGTTAGTGTCATAACAGGACTGAATAATAGGACATGCAGCTGGTGTCAGAGAATCAGAGAACTGGTGTTGGAAAAGACTCCTTGTATTGAATTTGGTGTCAGAAAACACTAATGATCAGTCTTCACATTTTTTTGAATATTCATAAAGTTAAATTTTTTAAAGACTGTGAGCTCAACTGTAAGAGTCTAACTTCCTAAAATTAGAGTGAAGTGTTAAAGTCAAACCTGTAATGGCTCTGTTTCTGCATTTCCTGTCCTCGCCCACCCTCCTCACCACACCCCACCCTCCCACCTCTACCCTTTGGATTATTTCTGAAGTTGCTAATGCTGTTTGATATATTTGATTTTTTCTAAGGTAGCAATATTTCAACATTTGTTTCTTGATACTTGGAGTTAAGCAGGAAGATACAGACAGGATGTTTAATAAGAAGTGTTAAAATGTCATCAAATATTTTTGAAATAAGTGAGTTTCTAAAACATGCTATATAAAACTTTATTAATGCTTTAGGTTTCCCATCGTGAAATTTCTTTAACTATATTCCACCTGTCCCATCCCTATATGTAATGTAAAGGAAAATCTGAACAAATAATTTTGCATGGATCTCCTAGTACTCTAAAGTGAAAATAAATTATATTCTTAGAAATTAATAATAACCATTCCACTTCTTGTAAAAGAGTCTGACTTGTTATTTTAAAGGAATACATTTACTTACAAGACATTTCTTCCAATTAAATCATATATACAAATACATAAATATTCTCTCTCCACCCTCAAGAAAAAATCTGTATTAAAGTCAATGCATATCATTAGTGACTTTCTGTCATGAAAATATAATGCAAGTTAATAGTTTGAAAGTTTACATGCAGACAAGAATCTTGCACATCTTCAAGTAGAAATAAAATTATCTCACTGTTTAGCAAAGCATATACTTGTTATTTTAAAGGAATACATTTACTTACAAGACATTTCTTCCAATTAAATCATATATACAAATACATAAATATTCTCTCTCCACCCTCAAGAAAAAATCTGTATTAAAGTCAATGCATATCATTAGTGACTTTCTGTCATGAAAATATAATGCAAGTTAATAGTTTGAAAGTTTACATGCAGACATGAATCTTGCACATCTTCAAGTAGAAATAAAATTATCTCACTGTTTAGCAAAGCATATAGAAGCACCATTAAAGTATACTAAAAAAGAGAAGAAGAAAGGGTAAATGTTGCAAAAACATATTTCTTATTCAGGTTAGTGTTTAGTTTATAAAAAGATGAAGCATGCAGTTTCATAATTTACAAATAAATAAATATGGCTTTGGGACCTCAGTGACAAAAATGTTGCATCTCTCTTTTTAAAAAATAGAACAGATATGAAATTCTCCTGAACAAGTGTACATGAAGTTCCTTTACATAGAATATTCAGGGGGAAAATTTTTATTTTCAGATACAAAATTAGCAATGCATTTAACAGTCACAACAATTTTAGCACTGGCTAATTTTAAAGGCTTTGAGTATGTTTAGTTGTACCTTATCATGACACTCTAAGAAATCATCTACCATACTGATACATTCACTTCCTATTTAGAGGGGAAAAATAGCATACATAACTTTAGGAGGATAGTTTTATGTTTATTTAATTCCAGAGCTCTCAATCCCTTTGGAGATCTTATCTCCATTCCCTCTGTGTCTTGGCAGAAAGGGGAGGAAACAGTCGTTGGTCTCTTCTTTGGCTCAGGCTTGAAAGACAATTGTTGGAATAAATAAGGCATAAACAAAACTTGTTTTTGAGCTGCCTGGGCTGTTTTTAACCTTCCTAACCTTATACCAAGGGCTCTCAAAGTGCATCAGTATTACATCTCTCTGTAACTAGCTGGTGACATATGAGGTGATTTCCTGTTTCTTTACAACCTATATGGGGCTATACTCAATGTTTCAACTTCTTTCAAGAAGTAGCCCTGCATTTAAATTTTCTCATGTGAATATAGCATCACTTTATGAGAATATCCATCTGCCAGAGCATTTAGTATTACAAACCCAAAGTGTGTAGGGCAGAGGAGACAGGTTTATTAAGAATGAGTTTTCATCTCATGAGGAAGGGAAAGAGAAAGTGGTCATTCCTATTGAATTTCCCTAAATAAATGTAACCCTTAAAAAAAATCTTGCCTCTTTGACATGGACTGATGTAGAACTTAAAGGTTCAAGAATCTCCTGAAATGTCTCGAAAGGCTATGACAACCTATGGCTCTATAAATACTTTTTAATGTGATAAAAAAAATAGCAAGTGGTTATTCTACTATAGTAACAATTCTAGTTAACCAGGATAGAAGGAGACTTGGTCATGGGAAGGTAACAGAAAGCACCTGAATTAGGATTTAAACACAAAACACTTTTGGGAAACTGTCTTTGGAGTGAATCAGATTACACAAAAATTAGGTTACCTAAGTTTTCAGGGCAATAAACAGGAGGGCTACAGTGATAACAAACACTTATGGTTCACCTACATTATTCTAAACTGTCTGTATTGGACTATATAATGAGTGATCCTCAGAGCTATTTGTACAAATCTCATTTAATCAATGGGAAATAAGAGATTGTTAAATTGGAAATAATTCACATGTATTTGTTGGAGTAAACAAGGTGGGGGAGAGAGGCAGTAGAGGAAATGGGAACTGTAATGGAATTAAGCTCTTACGAAGGAACAATTAAACCTGGAGCTGTTTTTCTTCTTCCTTTTTACAAGGCAATTACATGAATTAGAAAATTCAAATTATAATTTCCATGAACATTTTAGGAATATCATAGGACTATAAGGCAGAGCTCCTTTGAAAAGGCAGATGCTGGCCATCATAACCAGGGAAATGTGGGATTTATAGGTAAACAGCAAGGCAAATAGCTCTACCACTGAAGTGGAAACAATAAAACATGACGTCTTCTGAAACAATGTTAATCTTTCTGGTTTCTGATGTGTTAGTGCTTTTCTTTTTAATGAACACAAAGTCTAAGAAGAATGGAGAAAAGACATAGGCTTTAAACATTGGTTTGTCATGAACACCAGGGCACCAAGGAATAATGTAAGAGTAGTTTAGAAGAGTGTTAATTACTTCAGAGCCACTTTAATCTGTTTTTCTCTCAAGTTTCACATATATATCTTTTTCTCTCATTTCATACGTGTATTCTAAATTTTTCTCCACCTTTCTTTTTATTCACTCACCACCTCAACTGAAATAGCATCTTAGGTTACTTTTGTTATTTTTGGGAACAAGATTGCAAAGTCAATTGGGATTCTATTCATATCCGTCCTGTTGATTCTGTGTGGAAGGGAATCAGGAGGGAAGGCAACAGATTGCCAGCCTGAAGATGTCATTGCTGGCGAAGCAAGTGCTGAAATACAGGGAGAGTAAAAAGTAAAAAGAAGGGAGAGAAGGAGAAGGAACAGTGGAGGAATGCAGGGACGGGGTGAGGAGAAATGGGGAGGAAGACAAGAAGAGAGAGGAAATAGGAAAAGGAACAAGCATCTTAAATTTTCTGTTCCTCTACCATGACCATAACAATTAAATCCAGGTTTAATCTGTTATTGCGCTGGTTGTTTTGTTTTCACTGGTCCTGGAAACATCCAACATACATTTACCCATGGGACAGACATAGAAAAACATAAACAATATAATATCTAACTCTTGAAATAAACACAGGGCTATGATTGAACTAAAGCCTGGAGGTAAAATACATACAGCACTATTTGTCATAACCCTTAATACTATCTAAAATTTTAATTGCTACAACACAATTAATAACTGGCAGCATAGCCTGCTACCCAGGCCAAAGGCTAACCAGAGAATACATGGTTGTCAGAGAAATCTCAGCTCCATTAGTGCTATTGTAATAAGGCAATAATATGGCATCAAATTCTAAAATGAAGAAAAGTTTGGTAAGAGTTTCTGCTCTTGTCTTGGATACTGCGTCTGATATCCTCCTGAGTTGTTTCATGAGTTCTCTCCTTCGTTTATTCGCAACATTAATTAGTTAGCTCACCACCAATAAGTTCAAAAACCGGGTCTCACCACCACGAGTGTAACACATCTATTCCCTGTGTTGAGCTGATAGGAAAGAATAATAGAGAGCGATGGCTTTGGCAACTAAACTGGGATTCGAGGTGGGCAGGAGAAATGCGCTTAATTCAGGGCAAAGCACAAAACAGGCCTCCTACCAAGCTACTGGGAGCAAGCAGACCCATCTGAGAATGTGACACAGGTTGCTAATTTGAATGAAAGCTTTAAACAGCCAGGGCATATAATGATGCAAGTCTAAGGTGAAAAGATACAGCTGAAATCAAGGGCGTATCTTCTCACGACCAATTTTGGAGGGCCTAATGGTTTCACACTGATCTTTCCAGTTACAGCCACAGCTTTGAGCTGGTCATATTAAGCTCAAGGAAAATAAGTCAGAGTAATGAATATGTATTGTATTTGAAAATTATCATGGTTTTGCACCACGCAAAAAGTTCCCTTATTGATTAGAGTGTCATTATTAGAGTTCTCTTTCTACATTTGCTTTCTCACATAAATTAGCAACATGTACACAGAGAAATGAAGTAAACTACAAGATTTCTAGAGGAAGGTGGGATCTATTCATTATGTAAGATGAAATGATACCGCAAAGATAAGATTTCTGACTGAAGCCACTTTTGCTCAACTCATTTACTATTACTTTTTAAAAATTTAAACAGCCTATTGAGATAGCTTAACTTCTGTGTATTCTGGCCAAAAAAAAAAAAACCCAGGAAAAGCAAAACAAAAATACCCCCAAACAATGCAAACAATTACCATCTTTACCAACACAAAAGGATAACAAATGGGCCTTCTGTATTACAGAAAGGCAAGGGAAAACCAGGAAAATCTTTAAGAGCATGACTTTTCTGAAATCTAACAATGACCATCAAAGGTCTCATTAAGCCTTGGAATTCTACAATAAAATCTGGACTAATTTTTCTTAAGTCCACATTTAATATATAGCAAGAAAGTATTTCAGATGACCTTACTTTATCTTTTAGATGGCAGTTGGGACAGTTCACATAACACTCTTTGGTCAAATTTACATAAAGGACGTCCTTCATATAGATTAAGATGTCCTTCATATAGATTAATAGTCAAGGTAAGAAAGGAAAAGACAGTTTCATTTACACAGAAATGCTCACCAGGTGTTTCCCTATAAAATTCCAGAACTTACCATCTGCTAAATGTAATAGTGGTCAGAAAGTCCTAACTGATTAGCGCTTGCCCACAGAAAAATCTCTGGTTTTTCATTTATTACCACTTGTTTTATTTTTACAAGTTATTATCAATTAAAGCAGGAAGAGATACTATTTTTTTTAATCTGTCTAAAAAGAACATCTAATATACCACCTTAAACCAAGTCAGGTTTTCCATGATATTTATCACTTCCCAAGCAGATCCAATTTTCATTGCCCAAAAAATAGTACAACAGGGCTTAAAAAATATGTGCTGATTTGCCTGGGTGCTAAAATACATCACCGTAATTTTGATTAATGTGTCCTAACATTGAATGCATTAGCCATACAATATTCTTCTTGCTTAAAGGCTAATTAGAATTCAAGTCAGCATGATACCTGCTTTTAAGGATTACAAGAAGAAAACTTGTTGTAATAAGAACCTCCAGGCAGCCAGTTTTTGTAATGATTGATTTGTAAAATTATTGAGGAAGAAAAAAAGAATGAGAAAGTAAGAAGAGTCTGTCCCCCAAACTTAAGGATCAAATTTGAGTACAAATTAAAACATCTTGGTGGCTATGATGAAAATGAACTATGATAGCAGGTTTATTTAAAACTTAGAAAACATACTTTTCTGATTATTTTAAAAATAGAATGACATCATGCAAGCTCATTTTGGTGTATTTATCGGAGGTTTCCTTACGGCTGCTAAAAATCTCTGATTTCTGGTTGTATGAATTTCCTAATAGGACTCTTAAATTACTCAACTGCTCAGGCGCACTTTGTGCAAGCAGGAAATAATTATAAGTAACACTAACAATGTTATCCTTTTAACCAGTATGTCTTTTCTTTTTTATTTTAGGAATTCATTTCATATCCTGTTACTTCCAGAAACTTTCTTCTGCTATTTTTTAAATGTGATTTGCTGTTTCTGAGGAAGCAAGCTCATCCCCAGCAGATTTAGAAGATAAATTTCTACTAGATTACTGAACACGATAATTAATTTTAAGAGTGCCAAAGTACATGTTTCTGCCACCTGTAAAAGTTAGTCTTTATGTGATTTAGTGCCAAGGATGATTTCATGTAACAAGGGATAGTTACTGTCTCATACCCTCTCTATACTCTCTATACTCAAATTCTTGACCTGAATGTCAAATTTTCACTAATGTAGAAGCCAGAGCAAAAATACCAAATTTTGAGGGAAAATACTGTAAAAATTTATTTACCACCTAAATGATTTTTTTCAGATTTGTGGTATTTTTTTACTGTATTACGTCTCCTTACTGTATTAATATTTCTGTATTATGCAAATGTTTTCCCATTTACTTTCTGAATATGATGAGATAAATGGTGGTCTGTGTTGAAAGGAGAAAAGCAAGCACTGAAAATCTTTATTTGTAAAAAATGTCCCAGGCAATGATTTCCATCATTACATGTCCTATTCTTGGTTTGCTCTTCCAGTGAGCAGTGTCAGGAAGGAGAACTTCAACAGTACCAAGTCTTATATTCAGAACATTGTGTTCCCTCATCCTTTGTTTCTGGAACATTTTTTGATTATAAGAAAAGGGCAATAGTGTGATGTCATGTTTCAAGAGAAAGTAGGTTATCTTATGGCTCTTAAAGATAACATTTACCCAATCACTGCAAAGGAGTTTTCAGAGTTTACATCTACTGACCTATAGAGTGTAAATGGATTTATGTTCTGTAGGTTAAATCAGTCACACAAGGAAAGATTATAAGGAACAGGTGCATAACCAATGTTTCCAATATTCTGAGCTGCTCCAACAGAAAGAGATAACAATAGCTAAAATTTATATAGCATTTATTATGTGCCGGGCAATATTTTAGGAATTGCACATTAATTCAAGTAGTCTTCACAGCAGCTCTCTGAGTTATGTACAATGACAATTTGATGCCCATTTCATAAACAGGAGCACAGAAAGATTACACAACTTGCTCAATGTCATGATATAGCTTCATTAAATGGCGAGGGGTGGAAGCAGAATCTGCACACTGATGGTCTGGTGCTAAAGTAAGGCTCTTGATCACTGCTCTAGACTGCTTAACTACTAGAGTAATATGATCATAAAAAGGGGTAAGTAACATATTTACATTTTTCAAAATAACTGTGGAGACATGAATTAAAACAAAATAGGAACTTTGAATCTTTCCCTTTTATGGGATATCAAGAAAGCTAGTTACAATGTTTTGTCCATGAAAAATTTATTTGAAGGCTTGTTTATAAAAATAATCTTCTGAGCTCAAACCTTATTCCGGAAGATCAATGTCTGCATGGTACATGGTACACAATTTAATTTTCCCAGTTGAACATTCTGACAATATATGAACCATGAATGCATGAAATAGAAATTCCAAATGTCTTCCACATGCAAAGAGAATATTCCAATACTTGTGCAGGAAGCTGAAGAGTAGTTTGAAATTAAGTTGTGCCTGTTCTTAGTGACTTTTATTATGTATGCCTAAGGTATTAGCACTTTCTCTGAGTGGGACTCTGAGGTGATAGATAGATGAGCCTGCTGTCTGTATTTAGGCACTTTGCTCATTTCCTGAGAGCTGTGTGGAAAGCATGTGGATGCTCATTAGGTTTCCAACCATTCTCCTAGAGCAACAGGTGGTGGATCAAAGCTTCCCTGGTATGCCATGGCTGGGTTCCTCAAGTCTTGGAAATAATGATGGCCTTTGCATGCTCTCTGGAGTACCAGCAGATAAGGAGGTGAATAGCAGCAGGAAGTATTTCCACAGCATAAACAAACACACAAGTCTAGGAAGCTTATGAGTAATGTCCTTGCTACCACATATTCTAAATCCGTACATGGTGGTTCCCTCTCTAAATATTGTTACTCGTTCAAACTATAAAATTATGGGTAACTGTCCTGTGGTTAGCAACCTAATAAAAGTGAGGTATATAAAGGAATAAAGGACATCCCAGGCTAGTGAAGCTATATCATAAAATCATAAAGTTTTAACACATTTATAAATATCCACTGACTACTAATGACAATGTCTTAAATTGCCTCCTTTAAAAATTATTTAATTATACTGAGCACCTACCACATTGTATGGAAAGAATATTGCTACAACTTGAAAGAGAACAAGAAGACAAGCTAATTACACCAAAAACAGAATCTGTGATTTAAATCAAATACTGGATAGTTACTTAACAGTACTTGATAATCACACAGAAAAGTATCTCTAGTGAATATGAAAAGGCTTTTGCCAATTGATTGCTTATTGTCACTATAGTCACTAGTCAAAGTTAGAAAAACAAAGGAAAATATCACCTGTACTATTGTGACAAAATACATCTGGCAATTTTCTACAGCAGAGGAATAAAAGCATTCACTGGAGGTGGCAAATCACCACCATCTTTCTAACTTCAAAAAGTTCAAAACATTCAGTAGTTCACATATGGCTGGGGAAATGCTATGGGATATTTTTCATGGGTGACATAAAATAAATAAAAGATAATGACAACAAATAGCAGTAACTGAAATTGTTTTTGGCTTTTTTGTTTTGGAAGGGAAAAAACTCCCAAACCTTCACTCTTCAGTACGTTTTCTCACCAAGAAAGCGCCTAATGCTCAGGAGAAGGGAAAACTGGATTTTAACACACAGCACCAAGGGCCCTGCCCACGAGCCAGCAGGGGTGGTTAGCCCTGCTAACCTACACACACAGCTAAAGAAAACCCTGCCCAGCACCTCCAAACTGCCTCCTTCCAAATGCTTCCCCCCTTATTTATAATGCTACCAGGTTCTTCTACACTAATGCTGAATATAATTTTCTTAAATTTGTTGTAAAAATCTATGATCCTCCAATCATTTGTAAAATGCTTTTTTTTTAATCTGTGGGAATTACTAAGGAACTGCCATAAATTAACTCTGCACTATGAAGTCACATATTAATTTTATTAAGTTATTTTTGCTAAATAGACAATAAGGGAATGACTTTGATTCTTTAGTAAACTGCTGTCAGAGAGTGTACTTTTTCACTGAAGAAGCCAAAGACTAAAAATATACCAAAAGGACTTATCTAAGTGTCTATGATACTAATCTAGAAACATCAAACAAAAAGCAGAACCAAAATTTCTGAGTGCCAACCTGGAAGACACAGCTTTCATGTCTTTCATTATATTTCATTTCCATATATATATATTTCACATTTTCCTGGTTTCATTACACCAAATATACCCATAAAATATTACGTATGATACCATATGATGTCTAGGAACTCAATCAAACATGTTTATTCCAAGATTCTATGATTTCATGTAACATACTCCATTAAACAGTATACACAACCCTCATACTGAAACTAGGAATATTAATTTTAGAAGGGTCTAATGCACACCACAGATTGATTTCAAACTCTGTCAGAACAATGTAAGAGGAAATCTACCTGCATTATGTTACTCCATCAAACACTTCTAGAATTAAAAGCCAAACAAAACAAAACCTTAAAATAAGCTGATTTTAAAGGAGTAACTGCAGCTAAGGCAGTAGAACTGTAAGTCCAGTCAGGCGCCTCATGAAAAATTTCAAACTTTCAAAGTAAGCTTTAAGTAATTATTTCAGAAGATGCATAGAAAGCTTATGGGAAAAGTATATGGGGTTAAAATATTTTAGTAACATGATTTGTACTTTGTAGTGAGAATTACTGACAGGAAGTAGAAGAAAAAATGTTTTAGAGGGATTATTTTAATGAATGAATCACAAAGACAGCTGCCTGAATGTTAGATTTATGGGATCCAAGACCAATTCTAGTCAAAATCTGATAGGATCTTAAGAATAAAATTAAAATGTCAAAGGAGACATTCTAGACTTGAAGAATTCCAGTGACTTCAAATCAAGTGGCACATGTATTTATTTAAGGGGTATAGGAGGTTAAATAGCAGAATATTCAGTCCAGGTAGCAATGGCAAATGTTAGCAATGCCTGTGCTTAACTTTTAATTAAAATTTTTTAACTGGTTGAGATGACTGGAGAGTATTTAAAGAATTGCACTACATTTTTAGTTTTCATTTTTTTCCCTATTTTCTTCCACTTTTTGTGACCCTCACAATTACAGTTCTATGAAACTGAAACTGTCAGAGCAGTATTTACCTTTATCCCCGGAAGTCCAGGAAGCCCAGGAAGCCCTGGTTCACCCTACACAGGAAAATCACATGGCATTATAGAGCAATAGTCACACAGTCACAGTATCTGGAGAAAAACATGGCAAATGTTCCCAGTGGAGTACTGCATATGTGTATATATATATATATATATATATATATATATATAGTCTGGTTTCAAGTTTGGTGAGATTGTACAGTCCAGTCAACTCTTGATTCAGGGATTGCTTGACCATTTTGCAGATTTTTCAGAATTTTCATTCTTCCTCCCAGTTCTCTGCTCATTGGTATCTCTACCAGAAGATGAGAAAGAGGAATCAAAGGAGAAGGAACTCCTATGTTTTATTACTCCCTCATAAATGATTTGCTGGGGAGGCTGAAGCATTTTGCTGAAATGTGGATCATGCGTGCATTTCAATAACACATCCTATTCCAGTGCTCTCTCACCTCAGATAATCAAGAGTTGGCTGTGTGAACAGATGGTCACATCAAGATGATATACATTAAAAGTCTTGCTCCCTTAAAAGTATAGTAATATTTCTTTTCCATTCCTGAATGATGAGAAGATAAATGCATGATTAAGATTATATTTAACTACAGCCCGTATTTCTGACAATTGTTGAGTCTGGGTAACCTTGCTTAGCACTTTAGGGCTAATGGTACCATGCAGCTGTTCCTGAATACAGGTTTGAGATTAAGTGGTACATTTTGGGTGAGCACACTGGAGTCAAGCTAAATCTCATTTTCACAGAATTGTCTACATTATTTGAAGTACAAAGTATAATGACAAGAGGTCATAATGCTTAGAAAATCTCCTGAATCCTACTAAAGAAGCATAAAGGGATTGTCAGAGAAAATGACAGTCCTTCCTGTATTGGACTGAGGTGACTATTATTTGTGGAAATAACATTCAAAGGTAAAAGGGGCATGCTGTTTTAAAATGGGCAGACAGTGGGATGATAATTGAAAGATAGCATCAACTACCAGTAAAAGTGGCAGACAGAGGCACTTCTTTGAATCTAAATGCTTTAACAATCCTCATTCCTAGGAAAAGCTACTAAGAACAACCAGCCATTTCATCTTTAATGTTACTACTTTCAAGTTATGAAGAGTCAAAATGTGCTCTGATATTATCACAAAATGACTTCAGAGACTGTTTACTAAGCTGTATGGTTAGCTGTATGGCTTAGGTCAAAAGTACTTCAGGAATGCAAAAGAAAACCTATTCTGGATGAAATTATATACGTGAAAGTTTCCACTGTGAACAATGAGACAAAGATGAGATTAAACCAGAGAAGAAAGGATGACTATGAAGGCTTTGATAGTCCATTCAAAGAATACTTGTCCAAGTAGATTACACTTTACACAATATTATAAATTTGATTTTTTCCTTTACCTTTTTTCTCTTCAATCAATAAATTTATGAAGTTCCAGTAAATAGGGCTAACATCCATATTTTACTGAAAATTCTCAGGTTTTCTCAGTGCAAGGCCCTTGAATACACAGTAAATTGCAGTAGAATATACAATAAAAAAAGTGAACATACTGGTGATAAATCCATAGTTTTGTATTATTTTAGAAAAGGCCTCCCAAACTCAGGACATCCTGTTTGAAACATGTGGAAATACATAGGCCTGCAGGATTTTTCACCACACCCATCTCTTCCAACGAAATTAAAAGGCTCATATGATTATTTTAAAAAGAAGATATTTATTTATATATGCATACATAGACACACACCCATGTTTTCTAGCTTTGAGAAAGATGAAGATGATATTGCAGAATATTTTATAATGTAGATTGAATACTTACAGAGACTTTGAGCATTGAGCTGTTCCCTATATCAATATGTATGTATGTAGGCATATTAGCCTATAAATGTACTTTTTAATGAACAAATGTTTCAGGAATTCGTACTTCATAGTCTCGGATTTTTATAAATTTGATCTTTCCAAATTTATGTTTATTTAATGTAGTAGTAGACATAATGAAAGATTATGCAATATTTAATGTTACTCTTTGTGGAATATCTATAACATTTTTAGGAAGACTTTCTACCTATATAAATTTCCTGTCTTTTACCATGAAAGCTTATCTTCCAATTAAGAGAGTTTTTCAGCTACTTCCTCCTCTAGTCTTGCCTATTACTTGGCTCAGGAGCTTCTCTGAGTTGAGTTCTTGAGCATGCATGGTCCAAAGATCTGGGTCATAATTAAGAATTATTTTATTTTTCCATTTGAAGAAAACTTGCCAAAGTAGATTAAACTTTGGATATATACATTATACTTTTCTTTTTTCTTTTTCTTTCATGCTTTACTGTGCATTACATGAGACCCTTGTCTGCTGTCCAAGTTGGGACTGTGCTTTCACCCCACACCCTTGTTACAGTGTCATCTATGTCTAGATAAAGTTCAACTGTCAGGGTCCCTTCCAGTGGAGGATCAAGTATTTTTTTTACCCCTTTAAAAATAAAAAGCATATTTTGAAAAGATGTGGAGAAGGTAGGAAAGAATGTGATGAAACACAATACCTATTTTATAAATCTGCACACTCACTTTACAAACATATATACATTCTAACTCACGTATCAATCACACACTTCACTGTTGAGTCTAAAAATAAAAAAAACTATTCTAAAAACACCCCTACATTATGAATTTTACTCTAATAAACTTTCATATTGGAAAATACCAGACAGTGGAAAGCTAATCAATGGGTTTTCATTCTGTCATGATATCCTCTGCTTTTTTGGGAACATCCCTAACACAGTAGCTTAAGTGCCAGTGAATCTACAACACAGTTCTGCAATGGTGAGGAAAATGCCACGGAAATCTCTTGAATTGATTCTGTACCCAGTTTTGTTTATCATTTCTAATATAAGTAAGCAGCAAGTATGGAAATAGTCTACTTTTAAATCAGTCTTGGGGTAAGTATTGTCAAATTCAGATACTACACCAAGGAAGTCATAAATACTGTGGGAAAGTGAGATTGCATCAAAGGGCAGAATCTGGCCTAAAATTAATGAAAAAGATGCTGTTTATTTTAGGGCACATATTTATTCAGATAGATTATAAGCTTTTAATGAATCTATCCATTCTCTCAATATAATTTAAAACAGGTTTTTAATGAAATACCAAGGAAATCTAACGTTTCCATCCATACATAAATCTATAAACTCCCAGAAATGAATCTAAACTGTATTTCAATATAATCATGATAAGGCAATGTTTTATTAAGCAACTGAAAATCAGTTAGGACCTTCCACTCAGAAAACTGAGGAACCTGTACAAGCCTATAGCAAATTTGTTTCATTATATTTTTTAAAAAGACCTACCAGTCTTTGCAGACATTTCTTTTAGCATATCACAGATTCAGAGAACAGTTTAAACTTAGCCTTTAAGTTTTAAAGACTATGGGAGCTACTGTTAGATGATCTGAGACGATTAGCTGCTTTTTCAAACCAAAGCAGACCATGGCTCTTAGAAGATCCCACTAATTTCAAATGTTTTACATGAAGCATCAGTAGGAAATCTTAGGAATTGAGCAACAAAACTTGGAGAGTTCCGCTGGGCTCTTTGTAAAAGTTTCAGTTTTACCTGAAACGGGGCCTGATGAATCATTACCATTAGATTCTTAGTTTCAAGAGAAAAATCTATTTTTAACTTAGAGAAACATTAAAAGAACATGAAAGACCTGCTCAAAAATTACTTTAATCCTAAACGTTGAAAACAAAGCTATGATCCTCTCAATGACTTAAAGAACGTGGGAACATTATGTTATCATGTCTGAAGGTTCCAAACTACTACAATGGGATTTATTCTCTTTTCCTTTCCATTAGTAAGGTACATTGTATGCTTCTATTAATATTTTTTCTACAACATCAGCTATTGCTAGACAAAGGCAGAGTAAGGATCTTAAAAGATTTAGCTTAATGTGGAATTCATGTTTACTTGTCAGCTACAATGTATCTGTTACCTAAAATCTGACTGCATGGGGCACTGATATCCACATGCTCTGACAATAAACTGCTAACAGTTGTTTCCTGCCTCAGACTCAAATGAGAATATGAATCTAAAGATACTCATTGCATGTCCTTCAATTTATCACTGAAGTGAAGCACAACTGATAAAATTAATGTATGCATCTGTAGGTTGGTTAATCTTCAATTAAAATATAGTTTATTAACAAAAATCTATTTTGTATAACATAACATTCACAGGTAGATATGATTCACATAAAAAATTATCACCAGGGAGATATTTAAAATGAAAGGAAAAAGAATACAATTTTAAAAGAACTGTCCATCAGTCCCCATTGAGACAGTTTAGCAAATACTCATTTCTTCTCAGGAAAGACAGAAACATGCAGAATGTCTTTAAACATGCACGGTGAGCTGTTGGCATTCCAACCCAAAAGACCTTTGTTAGTCTCACACGGTTCAGCATACACAGACTCAAGTTCATACATACAGCATCCTTTTGCATGTATAGAGGGTGCTTCCACATTTTACTACAGTCAACTTCAACCCTTTCAAAAGGTGAAACAATCAAGATCATTCTGCATGCAAACATGAAAATGGCCTCATTTTTTCAATAACCGTTTTTCTGTTACACTGGATAGTAGAAATAAAATGGTGAAAATGAGATAGTACAAAGAATACACAGAATGGAAATGTTACCTTCTGCCCTGGACGGCCAGATTCTCCAGGTTCTCCCTGGATGAAAAGAGCCAAAGATGAAAAGGACAGTCTTAGAAGAGTTTTCCAAAACCATTAGGCCTCTGGACACTTTCTTGGAGGTGGCTCAGACTCCTCGATGGCCACTTCCTTCATTGCATTCTCTTATTCTACATGTCACTAGACACAGCCTAATTTTTTGCTGTGCATATACCTACAGCTCATACACAAATCCACATTTCCATAAACACCAATCATAAAGGGAAGAGAAGGCAAGCCCTCTTATTTAAACCTTTATCAGATTTCCAGCAGATACATCCTGTTGTGTTTGGAAGCCAAAAGCTGCAGGAGAATACAAATGGTTACAACCCTCAAAGTTGGTAAAAGGGAAAAGGAAGCAGAGGCATATCAAAATCAAAACTGCAACTGCTTGGGTTCAAAGCCTGGTAAGGCTATTTACCTTAATTCCTGCAGCAGACGATCCAGGGTCACCCTACAATGAAACCCATGAGCAATTACTCCACAATTTATGGGAACAGAAAACATACTAATACATATTTACCAATATGGGCACTCAAGGGAACCCCATAATTAAGAGGCCTAACTAGGCTGCCTAAGAACCTACCAATGTGTCAGCTGTCAAGATGTCAACATTTCCAAGATAAACAATGTAAAAAATATGGATTTATTTTGAATGCAAAATATGTAACATCTATATTCCTTGGAATAAATGTATTAATACATATCTCCTTGATCCAGTGCTAACACTGTATTCTAAAGCAATAAATTATAATTTTTGGATCTAGAATTTGGTTTTCTCTATTTCTGGACTTTATTAATGTCACTGGTTATCATTTACTAGAAGTTCCCTGACCCTTTTGGTCTTTGGGAAGTCAGGGTTCAACAGATGAAGTCAAAGGGTTAATGTGGAGTTGGAAAAAGCCACACAGCACTACCGGCACATTTTTTCTACCTGTACATTTATTTCATTGCAACGCAGTCTCTGGAAAATGATAGATGATGGATGACTTGTGGGTGACAGGGACACATGGCAAATGTGAGAGAAGTCTTGAGTTTTCTAAAAGGCACTGTATTCCACCCAATTTCATAAAGGGAGACTACATTCCTGAAGCACATATTATGAAATAAGCAGCCAGGGACTAGTGGCAAAGAACAGAAAGGATAGCTAAGATTGTTGCTTATTTCCAAAATGAGGCCAGAGAAGGGCTGAGACTTTTCAAGCTCCCTCTAATCCTTTGTCCCACGAACATGCTACAAAGCAAAGAAAGTGAGAAAATGTAGTCATCTGAGACTGTCAAGAAGGCAGAAGCAGCCACAGTAGGAAGGCACATACGGGGATTTCCTCAGCTGTCTTATCTGTGCAAGTGCTCAAGGAGCTCCTGGGGTCTATTTTCTTGTTCTAGATTTAGGAAGCTGCTCATCCATCCCTTTCAGAGACAGACATAAAGCCTAAGGTGTCTGTGCATAGAGGAGTTGTCCCCTCCTTCAGTTCCTCCTCCTGTTTCCCATGGTTGGCACCTCCACTTTCTTGAGGTCTCCACTGAAGTGGCTTTGCCTCAAAGTACACTTCAGCAACCAACCTAGCCACTTGCCCTTTCAACTACATGTCTCATTGTGCATCAGTGAGCTCTGTTCATGACCTGTATAGCTCGCTTTGTGATCTGTTTCTACCTATTCACCGTCTGTCCCTCCACTACGCACAGAGCTCAATGCAGGCAGAATCTATGTCTACTTTTATCCAGTGCCTACTGCCTAATACATGCTTGATAAACATGCAGTGAATGAATGCACAAATCTTAAGCAAATGTGTTCAGCATGTCAGCAGTCAAAATGAAAAAACCTTTAGAAAGGAAAAATAGCTTAGGAAGGAGAAGGAAATAATAAATTTGTTTATTGAGGAAATATATATATATATAGTTTGACATCTGTAATTGCTATTATCCAAAGAAAAATTAAAACATGACAAAATATAAAAAAGAGGACTGCTATTCTGTCTTATTGTAGAGTAATACTAATTTCTCATTCTAATTATTAACATTCCATTGAGTTCCAAATGGGAAGTGAAATAAATGTGGCCACTAAAACAGCGCGCATTTCTATTTCTACCAAATCAAGTCTGAAAGCCATCAACACCAATAAATCAGGTTTGTGACATTCTGCATAATAAGACCTCTGTATTTAAAAAATCGATTTTGACTTCGCTAAGTTTTTTTGTTCATCTCATTTGCACCTCACAAAACCTGATGAGGCAGGGCAGACATTACTATTTCATTTAACAGATGAAGATAAAGAAGCAACTAGAGTTCAATGAATTTGGATTCCTGAAATTCTATTGCCATGTTCTTTTTATTGGAATAAGAAAAGAATTATTGGTTTATTTCATTTTGACAACAGGGCATTAAGGTTATAGTAAGTTGTAAATAAAAGGAACTTGCTTATATTAATTGTAGTTTAAAAACTGTTTTTCAGTGTTTTAATGGAAAGTGGCTAGATGATCCACTCATGTGAATAAGGACAAAGTTTTATTCTCACAGAAAGTGGTTGGAATGAAAAGGACAGTTGTCTGAAAGTCTGGTTTATTTATGGAAATTAGAGCAGTTTTATTTAATGGGCAATTATGAATGATATTTTAATTCTCTTTTTAAAAACTTAGAACTGTGATAGCTCAAGGAATTTTTATAACTTTTAAGTGGCAAGGCAATTGCTGAAAGCCATTCATAAGTTAAACATTTTAAAGGATAATGCTGCATGCAGTGGAAATAAAACACTCATTATTTATAATCCTCATTCCTTTAAAAGTGAAAATGAATATAGGATTAAACTAGGAAAAAAACCCTCAGCAATGTCTTAAGTATACTTTTAGCTTCATAAGTCAGTTGGTTTGGAAATAAAAATTTCCACAGGGTAAGTCATAAATGGGAAAATACTTGGCGAAGATATTTGAGATAAATGAATTTGACTGCACTACTGATCATTCAAGCATCAAGAGTTTCTGCTTTTTATTGTGATTATTTGCAAACACAACATTTGGTATGTAATTGTATTTCTGTATTAATAAAGTCTATGTGGATAAATGAAATGAATGTGGTTGACGTTCTATCATTCATTAATTCATTCAATAAATATTAACTAAGCACCAAGTATGTGGCAGCCACATTCTGGATGCAGAGATGCCAGGAGCTGGGGAGACCACAGTGAACAATTCAGTTACAATCCCTGCTCTTGTCCTGTGCTCATGATAACATTTACTAATATCTTAAAATATACAAATACTGATGAAAAGCATGGAAATATTCTTTTTATTTTTTGCCATTTAAAAGAAGTCTATGGTAGGAAGAGATCTTCATTTGGGGAAATTCTGTGTCACTCTATAAACACAGAAGGCACCATAAGCAAATGCATGGTACAGGAAAAAGTTCTACCATTCAATGAAAATGAGAAACAGTTGAAAGTAAAAAAAATTTTTTTAAAAACGTTCATTCAATAAATATTTATTATCTTCTAACTCTGAGCCAGGAACTTAGATCAGTGCTGGGAATTGAACAGTTTGGCACCATATTGTTTTTTGTTTGTTTGTTTTTTCTTTAGCAGTGAGCTGGATGTCCAATTAAACAAGGAGTTATGATAAATATGAGAAAGGTTATGAAAGGGATTTTAAAGACTGCTGAGGCACGCAGTAGGTAACCTGACCAATTCAGAGGAGACTGAAAGACTGTCCCAGGGAAATGACTAGACTATACATTAAGGTTTCAGTGAATTTAAGAATAGGATTAGAAGGTGGCAGTGAGGTGTACAGAGAGCAAGAGACTTCTAAGCAAAGGGAATCGTCTGTTAAGTCAGAGAGGGCCCTGCATTGACTAGGATGGGAGTGCCCACTGGGAAAGGCCTTCATGTGTGACTTTAAGAAAAGAAGACAATTCGACTGGTGGCTCCTCCAACTTTGGATATGGCTTCTGGAAAGGCTCAGAAGATGCAAATCAAAGATGTTTTATAGGCATAAGCTAAGATGGCAATGTACTGACGGGAATAGAGACTGCAGGAGCACAGGAAGTGAAGGCCCAGGAAGGTAATCCCAAGAAAGTGAAGGTGGGGCTTCTGAATCCACGGAAAAGTATGAATGATCAAGTGGCATGATCTAACCTTTCAGTGTGCTGCACACACATCTATTTTCAATGGAAGGAAAGAGATAAGAATCCATTTCTACATTTGTTGGTGGGATTAACATTCCAAAAAGCAGAACATAATTTGTCCACAGTAACTTGTCACATGATTGAAATCTGTGGTGGGTCACTCTTAAACCTAGAGGGTGCCAAAGCTGCTGGCCACAGAGAAACCCAGCCGAACGGTTTCCTTAGCTCCACAGCATTTCCAGATGACCAGTCTGGAAAGGCTTAGATTGCTTTACCATCCAAAGACACTGAGTTGGAGCAAAAGGAAGAAAATCCTATTAACATGAATCAGTCAATGACATAATTTACTACATCAATGGCAGAAAAGAAGCTTTTTTTGATTTTACATCTCCAACTTGGTAAATGATGAATGAATTTCACATACTAAACCCAAAGGCCATGAGAGGAGTGTTTCCAACATGCTGGAAACAAATTAAATGACAGAAGCAGGAAATGTTTAAAAAAACACATAAAAAATTATATTCTAATTAGAGCATTCTCAGGGATGAATGCTACAGGTCAGATTACATATTAGACCTTACAGATTCCTATTTACAATTCCCTGTTTAGACCCACTGAAAGTTTATAGAAATAATTTGTTTTAAATGAAGCATTTTTTGTACTTAATTTCAGATGACTTACAAAATTTTTTGATAAAAAAGAATGACCGATGTAGTTGATTTCAATATCCATGTGGTAAGAAAGCTAACATTTATTAAGAATTTAGTGTGTGTGAGTCAGTATAGTAAATGATTTGCACTAACATAAAAAATAAGAGCAGTATTCCTTTGAGATAAACTTGGTCTTTCAAAGAAAAAAAATTGTTGTACTATTGGAAAACTAAATTTTAAAAATGTGTGATCAAAGAAACAATTATTGGCCTAACTCTCAAAAATGAAGCTTTAAAAATACATTTTTTAAAGAGTAAATTCTCTACAGAAATCCACATAGGTGTAGTTCAGACTTAGCACACATTTTTTTTTCCCTTGAAGAAACTGCTGCCTGTTTAGAAGATTTCCTTTCTTTAAGCAGAGGTTGGCACCTGTGGACCACTGGCCAAATCTAGCCAGCCGCCTGTTTTTGTGTTGCCCATGAGTTAAGAATTGTTTCTACGATTTTACATGGTTAAAAACATCAAAAGGACAATCACACTTCATGACACGTGAAAATTACATGAAATTAAAATTTTAGCATCCAGAAATAAAGTTTTATTGGAACACAGCCACCCTCGTTTGTGTACATACTGTCTCTGGTTGCTGTCATGCTACAATGACAGAGTAGAGTAGTTGTGACAGAGACCACACGGCCTGCAACACCTAAAGTATTTATTTTCTGGCCCTTTACACAAGAAGTTTGCTGACCTCTGCTTTTAAGCAAAAACAAGAAAGTTAAATATAACGTCCCTATTTATATATATCTGGGGTTTGTAATTTTGACTTGGAGAGTCACTGAGGTATATTGTTGGTCTCATTAGCGCTAAACATTGTCATGCCTTATTTGATGGCACGATAATTAAATTTGACAGGTAAAATGGGTCTACAGCAGTGGTTCTCAACTAGGGGTGAGAACAACAAAAACCCTGAGTTTTGCCCCACCCCACCCCGCCCCCAGGGTCAAAACACTGAGACCAAAAGCAGTTGGCAGTATCCAGAGACAGGTGAGGTTTTCACAACTCAAGGGTGCTCCTGGTTCCACGTGGGCAGAGGCCCGGAATGAGGCTGACCCTCTGACAGCCTCCACAGCAGGGAATGACCTGGCCCAGCGTGTCAGCAGCCCTGAGGCTGGGGGCAGGACACACTGCTGCCAAGAAACTGAGAGCCCACTCTAGGCCCCCGACTGCTCCTTGAATGCAAACACAATTGCTACTTAGTGACATTCATTCATTCCTACCACCCATGCCATATTAATATTAATATTTATAAGGATGGGAAAAATAGATTTCTCTTTATTTCATGGTATGTTTTTATGACTAACCATTATCCATCTGTACTGTAATAATTTTCAGCCTAAATGAATATTTCTTTTTTTCAGCACTCAATTACTTAGCTTGATTTAAATTAAAATCTGACTGCCTATTCTATTTTGGTCTCTTAAAAGATCTTTTAATTCTTAACATACACAGCACAAGGGAAGTAAAATATCCTTCTTATGTCAGAGATGTCTGTAAAGTATGAATCTAAGCAAAAGCTATAATGATAGACTAGGGGAAAAAAGAGGTGGTGGCAGATGATCCACAAGACCACTGTAATATAAAAGCTAGTAATGGTTTATAAGATGAGAAAAATGACAATCCAAAGGCTGACAAAATCCTGATTTAGGTGCTTTCAAGTTGAGGCAAATTTCAAGACTGCGTGAGAAGCTGTAATCAAGTGACATTTCCTTTCAAAGATTGAAATCTCACCCCAGTTCTCTGACATGTTCTGTCCTAAAATTGGGACAAATGGAATCACTTTAAGAACTCTATTTTTATATTTCTGCATATAAAGGGACTGTTCTATTTATCCATGAATATAAATGTTTATATTCATTGAAAGCCATATTACTGGAAATGTAGCTACTTCTTTTCAAGAATTTGTGACATACCATTTTATTTTTAAAATACTTAAATTGTAGCTGGGACCTTATAGAATAATCACCTTTTATAAACTGACTATTTAAATTTTTCCTAAACTTGTTGATCTTATCATACTAAGCTACCACCAACCACTTACTTAAACTCTCTCAAAATCTCCCAGTTTCATATATATGTAATATTCCTGCCCCACACATCCTCTTTCATATTTCATGATACTGTACCTTTTCGCCTGTATCACCTTTGTGGCCATCCTCTCCAGCATCTCCCTAAGGAGGGGAAAAGCAACACATGTAAAATACACTGGCGACATTACTCAAAGGGTATCATTCATTATTTTGTATTCTTTCATAAGCACTATATGCATTAACATCTGCCATACATGTTCTAAGGAGCCAATGCACTTTTACTTGGGCAGCTGCCTGATATCAACTAGTCTAGATAAAGTTTATTACAATGAACATGGCTGAGAGTTTGAAACTACTCCACGATATTAACAGAAATTTCTCTGCCCTCTGATAGCTTATTCTGGCACTTGAAGTCTTCTTAACTCTTTTCTCCTCAGCTCAACAACACTCCAGTGTGACAGACACTCTTTCCTGACCGTTTCCTTGTCACACCTTGGGTCTTCCTGCCTTGGGCCCTTCCCAGCCACTTCCTGCTGCCTGACTCCTTTCCCTTCCGTCTGTGTAAGTCCTATTCTGTCCTCACTTCCATCTCAAATCTCTAGAGCCTCCAAGTGCATGACATGATCCTCACAACCTGTGGGCCGAATATTGATTTATCTGCACCTGTCTGTTCTGCATTTGTGAAATGAATGCTTTGTATTTTATTAGCAAACTCTTAAAAAAAATTGCAGTAAAATAAATTGGGGAGTTGATGCTTCTGTGGTTATTTTTGAGATTTTTCTATGCCTATTATCTCATGGACGGCTCCTTTCTACCCACAAAGCAGTTTATTAAGAAAAAAAGCATTCATTTATTATCCATACTTTGCTTCTTTGAATTCTGAATTTGTTAATTTAAGTTTTACGGCACATTACAGCAGAAACATCAGGACTTTAGAGCCAGAAAGACCGAGAGCCGAGCTCCAGTGCCTACCGGGCAAATGAAATGCTCTGCGCATCACAGGTCTCCTGTGTAATATAAGGGCAAGAATACTTTATGGGATTACTAGAAATTAACAATACACTGTGCATAAAGCAACTAGGACACTGACTGCCACATCAAAAGCTGTTAATGACAGCCATTAACAACAACGAGTTACTGTTCATATATTCCTTAAGCTGGAAGGCCCTTCTGATTAGCTTCATAAGAGGTCATTATCTATTCTTTAAAAATTTCCTTAAAATAAGAGAGAAACTATTGATAACGGTTTCCCTGGGAGAGGTGGGGAATGTGTGTGAGGGGGAACTTTCACTTTTTCTCTTCATTTTCTTTTCCTGTTTCAGATATGCATGAAGCTAACCTGCTCAGGAATTTGTCTAAGGTGGTGGGCACACCACAGCCAGCCCTGGGAGCCAGACTTGCTTTGTCTGATGAACCCTGGAATAGTGCTGGCACTGCTCCTTCACAAAAGAATCATCTGATGGCTGAAAATTAATTTCAAGTTCATCACAACGAACTAGTTGGATGCCAAATAAACATACTGAGAATATGTTATGAGGGAACTTTGATTAGCAGCTTACTAGCATACTTTAAAAAACTGCTTGGAAATCCCTTTATTAAAAAACAAAACAAACTTTCTTATTAGGAGAATTGGCTCAAAGCAGTCACAAAATGAAGGGTTTGACTGAGCAAAGCCTACTCTGTTTTGCTGTCCTGCTTAAATAAATGTCTTTCTAATTTTTGTTTCATAGTGCCGAAAAACACAGTTACATGCATCAAGTTTGCTGGATCTTTCGATATACTTCTTTGGGGATTACAGGTGGTGATACTGACTTGTCAGATAGATCAGATCGGTTCTGAAGAGCATTATGTAAGGAAAATTAGCATCACAATATGCACCAAGAGTCTACAAATATTCAGGACATGCCCCAAAGTACTGAAGAAGGAGAGCTAAGAGAAATTTCACATAGGGCACCCTGCTTTTATTTCTCTTTGGTTTTTATGGGAATTCTTTGTGGGGCAACTTTCAGTATATTTGCTGCAGGTAAACATCTGTATGCCTTTAACTTGACCTAAGAAGCAGCAGAGAGAGATGCGGATGCTCAGAGAAGTACTCAGGTTGCATTAGCAAGTAAGTAGAACAGAAATATTGTGGGCAGAGGGATTTTCAAAGCTATTTACAAGTCTGACATAGAATGTTTAAATGTGCTCCTTGTCCTTCCATTTCCTTAAGTGTTTTCCCCCAAACCTCTGTCCATACATAGGAATTACATTATTTTCTCCTTCCACAAATTGATTGTTTGAAAAAACCAGTTGTTATTATATCTCTCTGTATCTGCATCTATTTCTAGTTCTATATCTGCATCTATCCATCCATACTTACAATATAGTTCAGTTTGGCACAGCTTTGGGAAAAAAAGATACACACAGGCAGAATCATTCTCACCTTTTCTCCTTGTTCTCCAGGTTCTCCCTGGGCAAAAGAACAAAGATTGAGTGACACATTACATTATAAAACACCTAGTTAAGGAACACCAAACAAAGGCAGATTGAACATATTAGGGAAATTATACATGATACTTTCTATCTTGACAATACATAGCTGCTACATGAAAACAAATGGTAAAATGATGGAGAACTGGGCATGAATATCAACATCAAATATAATATTAATATTTGCTTTTAAAGGACAAAACAAAGACATTAAAAATTACCATCTAAAACCCAGCTTTTGGGGCACTAAGGAGAACAGTGTGGTGAAAACTCACTGTCTTGAGCTGCTCTGTTGTCTACAACTTTTTTTCTGCCCAAACTCAGAAGCAGTAAGGTGAGCTAACACGCCCTTCCATGAAGTCTTTTATATACAGCAGCCCCTGGGGCCTGGGTTATTTCAGCAGCCAGGATCCCAGAACAGCCCCCCCGTCTGTGTCCCCCTGACATGACCATAAACTTGGTCCTGAACTCGGACCCTCCCATGGTGTCATGGATTCTCTTTAGCCCACTGCTCACCAGCATGTTCCAGATCAGGTATATTTTAGGAGACACTGGTACTTTCAGGAAAGACACTAACATGGGACAGAATCAAAGTGAGTTTAGGAGAATGTCTTTACTTAAAATGATAACCAGGACAGTATCAGGACTGAAATGCAAAACTGTCCTCTGAAAAGAATCTCATTCTCACTTTACCCAGGAAGGGACGGGGAATGGAGTGGGAGAGCTCTAAAGTAACTCATATATACTATGATAATATTCTCCTTATGCAAAGCATGAGTAAGTGTTGGCATCAGATCAAGCTGCTTTAAAATATGGTTTAAGGTGATTATAGTGTTTTTTAAAAATTATAACCCACTGTAGAAGCCAGTTTGGAGGCAAGACCCTTCATTTGTTGGAACTCTGACCCTTTGGCTTTCTGAATTTCTGGCTACCTTTCTCTGCTGAACATCCATCCTGATGGTTGCTAGGCAACAGAAGAATAGCACTGAGAACATGCATTAAGCATTAACTCCTGTCATTTGGCTTTTTAGCACAGAGCAAGAGAGGGAAGAAGACAGGAGAATGGCTGTATCCCAGAAGGAACATTTTCTTTCCCCTCCTGGAGGACACAGGACAGGTCTATAAATTTTAAGTATGTCCTAGGCGCCTGTCAATAGCAATGTGATCTGTAAAATCAGCTGACAGGCATCTGTGTGTAAGGATACACACCAGCACAGCTGATGGGATTAGACATTAGTTTTGTACTTCAAGGGATGTTCACTCATCAAAGGATTTGGGATTTATGTGCCTGTGTGGTTTAAACTAAACTGTCACCAATCTTTTTATATTTAATAGAATCATTTGTTCTTCCAAAAACAAAGAAAACTTGCAGTCCCTGACCCCCCCCAGAAAGGTCCTCATTACATTTTTTCCCTATTTAGTAATTCAGACTACATCCACTTTAAAATTTTAAACATGACACATCTTTAGTTTTCTCTTCATTTTATTAACTGGTTATGTGGTATAAGTGTTGGTGGGGGCCAAATTTTGAGGAAAAGCCACAGTGGCACTGTAAACATCATCTTTAGTAAGTCTTGTAAATGTCATGCAAATTTTAGGCAGTATGGACATGGCCGACATTTTCATATGCTTATTATGTGGCAAAATAACAACAGTCATTTTTGAAACATGGACTTTCTCATGCTATGTAAGTATTCCAGAATAAAGACTTTTAGACAATCATATCCTATTTGTTTTTCTGCATTTTTAATGCTAACAAAAATCACAAACATGATTTATTCATTAGTCACAAAGTTGTATACTGTAGCATATTATATGACTGACAAAAAAAAATGCCATCCAGGTTAAGCCAGTGAAATATAAACAAAAATTGTACTAGCTTAAAATTTCATGAAAACTCATGTCTTACATGATACTGCTTGGTTTTATTTTTACTTACCTTTAGTCCTGGTATTCCGTTCTGTCCTCCTGCTCCAGGCAACCCAAGCTCACCCTCAAAATAAAAAAGATACTACTAAACAAAACAGATAAGATCAAACCGTTACATAGATCATTAGCAGATATAGCCATCTGATAATGCTCTGGAATTAGATAGAAAATAAATGACTATTAGTTTAAATACAAGATAGCTTGTTTCGTCCAAAATTCTATGTACTAAGAGACCAGGAGAAAATTTCCTTTGGTTACTTTCCACAGGTTAATTTCCTTCATTCAGTCTTTTCTCCATTAAGAAAGCTGCAGCAACTTACCAGTGGAAATGCATATCTAGTACGGTGTTGGGTACAATGTAGGCACAGGCATCAAATAAATATTTGTTGAATGAGTAAAGGCACATCTGAAAACATAAGACCCTCTTGATGGAGCATTTTTAAGTGACTCATCATCTCAGGAAAATAAAGACTAAGTTATTGTATTTGTTAGACTTAATCAAATGAGAATTTTCAAATCTAAATCTTGAAGAACATACACATCTGTGAATACCAACCTACTTCATTTAGACACATTTGGCTCCAAAGTTAAAAGTAAAAATGGCTTTGGTTTCTTTTTCCAATTTCACTGTAAAAATAATTAGAATAAAACACTCAGACTTGTGGCTTTCATTGTTACATTGAATGATAAGGAATTTGGGGAAAAGATGATGGCTGTTAGGTTAGAAAAGTTTCCCATTCCAGGAAGTTGAAGATGCATGCCAGTCTTTCTAGACTGACCCAGCAACTGTTTCCAAAGAGGAGATGTCCCTTCAAGTGCCTGTAAGCAAAGGAAGGAAACTCTGGCTCTCAGGGCCTCCATGTGGCTCCAACTTCCATCAACCAGAATTTTGTATTCATTTAAGAACATCCCCAAAGCTCTTAACTGTGCGCTCCAACTCCTGGACAACTTTCTTCTTTCCACTAAGGATCATAAAGGTGCTTCTTAGCTGATTTAAAAAAAAATCCCAGACTTTATTTTTAGAGCAATTTGGGGTTCTACAGAAAACTTGATTTTTAAGCATGTTTTCGGTTACCTGGAGGGCAGGGATTGTGCTATTTTTATACTTGGGCTCTCAGCTTTAAAAGCAGGTACATTAATAATAACAGTAACATTTCCTAAGTGCCAGGAGTTTTACATTCATGAACTCACTTAACTCTTACAAATCTGTATTAGTTAAGTACTATCTTTATCTCTATTTAACAGATGAAGAAATTAAGGCACAGAGAGGGTAAGTAGTTTTTCCAGATTTACACAACTTTAACCAAGATCTGAACATGATCTGGCTTAAGAGGTTGTGCTCTTAAAGATATGATACATTGTTGAATGAATGAATGCATCTAGAAATTAGGAGAGAGTAGATCATAAGTATTTCTATACTCGTTATCATTTGGTTTATATTCCATATTTATAAGTGACCTTTCAGAAGGAGTAGAAATCTGAATTAAATATAATTTACATAATTTATATACAGCTACAGAATAACTAAGCAATGTGAACCTTACTGTGTTTTTCAAGAAGAGCCGAAAAAAAAGTTTTACTATTATACTGTATAATTTTAATTGTTAGTCTTAAATTCCTGGAAGAAATTCTACTTCTTACATATAGTTACACTATAATCACTACTCTTGCATTTTCCTTGGTAAAAATGGCAACAATGCTGACTTAGAATAACGATGGCCATTATAGAAAAATTTTGATAGACCATTTGTGCACTACAAAGGGTAAGAACTTGGAAATAGAATATGCTCTGAAAGATGACTATCATTTACTATTGCAACCAGAAAAAGAGCTATCAAGTCTGCTTTCTTCAAGGAATCTCCAACAGGATGCCCTAATATCATAACTCATGGCTTAATGCAAACAAGAGATGCTGCCAGAGAACAATACAAGCTTTGTTGACTTTCAAAGAATAACCATGGCAGCCAGAATAATAATAAAACCCTGGACTGGAAAAAATATATGCTGATATTTTGAAGTAAGCAAGATAAATGTTTGTTAGGTATCTGCAGAATGTCTTCCTTAATACATGAATATTGAGGGATTAAAACTTGATTCTTTTTTCTCTTTGATTTTATACATTGTTAATGTTTTAATGTAAAAAGAAACAAAAATTGCACTCATAATCCCATCACACCATTATAATTGTTTGCATTTTGTCCTGTTTCCTTCTAGTTTTTCTTAAGTATGCTAACATATTTTCAAATAATTGTAAGCTTATTACAAAGGTTGACATTCTAATGTTTTTATTAACTTATGCCACACATTGTTTTCACTCATAATAGTCTTGTGGATAGTTTATCGCCTATCAATGTCAGGTGTGATTATTTGCTTAATATGTCCTAAATTGTCCAATACTTAGGTTGTTCTCAATTTTGTTATTAAAGATAAACTAAAATAAATACCTCTGTAAATATTACTAAATTGCTTTCCAAACTAGTTCTGAGTTTTATCTGCTTTTGTAGGTACCCAATCTGTATTCTCTCTCACAATTTCATTAGCATTGGATATCACAATTTTGATTACTTTTATGGCTATTTTAATAAGCACAAACAAGTTTATTGTTGCTTAGTTTTAAATTTTATCACTTGTAAGGGTAAATACTTTTTCATATGTTTGTAATTTTAAAGCTAAAATGTGAACAAAACTATTTTCTGAATGAATCAAAGCAGGATAAAAAGGAGAAATGACTGTTGGCATTTTACCTTTCTAAGAAGTTACATCAAGAAAAATCTATTCAAATACTTGGAGGCTCTGGAGCATTCTTCTATTATCCAAACTTAGTTTTCAGGTTGTGTGAAAGGTATGTTAAAGATAAAATGTTGTACAACTCTTAGTACTAAGCCAGGCTATAGGATTCTGGAAGGCATTAATTCATTTAATTAGCCTTTAGTGAAAATTACTGTATGCTCTACTCTGGGCTTTGTATTCATGGGATATCATGATGAAATAGACATGAGAGGTGTCTGTGCTTAAAGAGCTTATTTTTGAGTGATTAAAAAAAGATAAATACACAAATAACTTGAGGACATCTAATTGAGGTCATAGAACTTTTTTTTAAGCCATTTTCTTGCACTTTATGAACAAAGGAGGGATAATAAACAGAAAAACAAAGGGAAATCTTAATGAAGAATGAACCAGATGTCATTCAGTATATTAATATTTTCTGGTTTATGAGAACAAAATATTATCATGAGGTCTCTTCAAATAAAAGTTACAACGATATTCTATTACCACACAATGTAGTAAAAATGTACATACACAGAAAAATGTATCAGAAAAGCAGACCAAAAAGATGGGAATTAAGTTTCATGGGTGTGGAGAGCTAGTCTCAAGTTTGTTAGGTAATCCATCCATCTCTTTCTCATGCATTTCATAGTCACAAATAATGAAGGACATCCAAAGATAGTAATAAAGAAAAACAGCAGTGCACATCTTAACCACAGGTAGATTGATGGGGTTTTCTCCACTGTTCTTTAAATTCTAATGCTACTCCAATTGTATTGCTCCCAAGTGACAGTTTGTTTTTTATTTAAACTGAGAATAATGTGGACTAGCTTTTAAGAAGGATGTTTGCTGCTTCCTCTCTCCCTCCCTTCCTTCCCTTGCTCTTAAACCAAACACCTTAGAACTCTCACCTAAAACTTCACTCAAGGCTTTTACAATTAGTTCCCAGACTGCTGTTCAGGGACCACTTGAAAAAATACTTAAAGGTAGAATGGAATGCAGTTTTCTTACAAAATTGAGTGCTACAGGGAAATAGGTCATTTAGCAGTAATGTTGCTTGCTATCACTCAATCACAATTGTTTTCCATTTGGCAATTGAAATTTAAAATGAATCATAGCTTAAAATTTTCAGTATAATATAATTTTATGTTCACTTGTCAAAATGGATTTGTTTCCCATAAGTACTGCATTTTCAGAAAGAACTTACTCGAACAGAAGAGGAAAATAACTACAAGGAACATAGACCAGCGGTGGGTGGACAGAGTGGTAATGAGCATCAGAAGGCATGAGACTTAAGGCTGTTCTTCCCCGGCCTTGGAAATGGTGGTGTCAGTGTGGATGTGCAATAAAATAAAGACTAAAGACAGGCCTTGTTGATCACTGGTAGCTCTCTAAAATGTTGAGTGTACTGGGTCTTTCTTCCCGAAGGCGACAGTGCATAAAAGGATCATAGTGGCCTGAGTGTTGAGCAGGATTGGCCTTTAGTCATTCTTCTACTGCTGGCAGTCATGGGGGCCCGGCGGGTGTCCCTTTGTAAGGCCTAAGAGGCTTTGGTAGTAATTGGGTAAGTGACACTTGGTAGAGGAGGACTCTCTGAAAGCAGTGAGGCACCCAACAGCGACTTCCAGATATAAGTGTTTGGGGAAAAGTCCTGAAAATGAGGCTTCTGCTCTCCATTCATATTTATTCTCTCTCCAGTTTAGTTTTTTACTCTAGTCCCCTAATGGAAGATGGGTATGAACATAAACTTGGGTGAATGTAAGAGGTACATGGTGACCAACATATTTTACCTTGAAATGTACAGAAACGTGGCATTTTACCACACAATAAGGTAAGAACTCCAGCTCCAATTTTCACATGTTCTTAATGCTCTAGAAAAATCCTCTGCTTCTTTTGTTTTCCTGCACTTCTTTGAACTCCCTAGACACCCCAGTTTTAAGAAGTTTGACTTAAGGGAGAGCCAGTTCACAGTAATAATACTACAACTTAGCTCCACTTTTTAATAAGTTTGTGTGGGTTGGCCTGACACATTATTCATCCTTGGAAACAGTTTTTTCTATGTATGTTATCTGTACATATTTGAAATCTAAAACATAACCCACTTGTGTACTGGAGATTGTTAATTTTGCATTCAATAAGAAAGAAAATCCTGGGCAACATTATAGCTAAACACATTTAGGACTGAACAACCTGGTACTAAAATGGCACAAAGAAGGGGGACAAGTTGGAATTAAAAACCAAAAATTGAGCCACAGAGCCATAAGGAAAATTGGAGTAGTCCATATTAGATTCTTACAC